CCAAGTTAAAATTTGGACCCTTTGGACTTTAGGGTAGACCAATTCAAATGCAGGGCCCAAAATTTAAAACATTAATACACGGTTTGTAGATTCGGCATATCAAATAACCCTAAAAATTCCATTTTTTAATTTTGAACTCTGGACCTCAATTTGGATTAAATTTTAAAAATGGGGCCCAAAAGCAATATACAGTTAAGAATCGGCTATAACCCTCAACTTTCCTTTTTATGGTATGGAAAATTTTAGCAGTCGTATTAAAACTTCCAGCATTATTTGCAGTCAATGGAAAAAGTCTGTCAAGTCGAAAACTACTCAACTTAACCGTAGTTTATCATTCCAAGGATAGATATAAAATATGAAAGGGTCTTGTACCTAATTAATGCCAACATCTTTCCAAGCTCCTGGGTGTTGATCCCAGACTCAATATTATTGAGCATCCAACAAGCTTGATAATTCATCCATTTACTGCACTAGTATTGCATGATCTACTGAAATTAACCTAAACCAACATTTACAAGTTCTGACATTAAATACTCCAAGAACAATTTAATACTATGAATAAACAGATGCGGGTTGAAATGTATAAAACAGCATCTGAACAGTTTGTCAAGCTCTAGACCTGAATCAAGTGAACACCATAATTCCCTCAATGGCCACAAGTTAAAACTTGAGACAACTAACCACGACTTTAGACATGCTGATAATCGTGTTGAGTTGAGCTGCCATATTTATTATAAATTTTATATGAAAGTGTCCATTTCTGCAGTGATACCTTGCTTTTACAAAAAGATTTACCCCTCCACAATACCAATTGGTCAAAATTTTCATTTCCAAAACTTCAAATTGATCAATCTGAGGAGTTTTTTTTTTTTTTGCTAATTCCTAGGGGAAAATATGATAGTATGAAGCAAGAGGAGTAGTGTAATTGTAAAAATCCTTACCATCCACTTCCCCACTTTTAGATATCTATAAAACCAGATTTCTACATTCTACAAGTTTTTGTCAGAATTATAATGTTCTTTCTCCACACTCCCATTGCATTATGATAGCTAATTCATCTAGTTGAGACACCAGAAGTTCAGAGAAAAATAGTTTTAAAGTGTCGATTTTTCAAGTATTTTTGCTGAAAAATATTTGTTTATATTAAAATTAACAGTACATGTAGTAGATTTAAAATTGTTTGCATGGTTTGAATTTGGTCTACAAATGTCCTTAAATTCAATTCCTACAAAACTTTTTATATCTTTGTTAAATATTTACATCGTTTTTTAACTTCATGTTCAATTACCCCATTACTTACAAAAATGGGACTTACATCAGTATAACAGTCACAACATTTTGTTACAGGAGATTCAAGTCAACAATATTCTAATCTAGACATCTGGTTATAAGCAACACCCAACTTTTAAAAAAGTTAAAAAAAATTTATAACAAGTATTATATTCCACTCGGAGAGGAAGTCAAAGATAAAAAAAAAAAATATGAGAAAAAAACCTCTTTTTATAGATTTTCTTTTTTTGTTTAGTTCATCTAGTCCAAAGGGCCATGTGAGCTATCAATGGATGTTTTCCTTTGTCAGCTATCCGCAGCTATCTCTTCATCAACTTCAGTGAGAGAGTTCAAGCTGATCATCATTCAAAGGATATTCCATTCCAATATAAAATAAATGTGTAATGTGCAACAAAATTGGTATTGGATTTACACCACTATTCTTAATGGCGTTTACGGTACACTGAAAACATGATAATCTGTTAGTCTTCATTAAAGTTTCTCTAGCAAAATATGTATATTGCATTTAATTTGCTCCCTTGGTTGACAAATAATTATATTGGTAGTTATTCTCAACAAATCAAATCTACCTACAAAGGAAGCACAAAAACCTCAAGATGATTTATTAATTGTAAACAACCCAATTTAGCAATTTTTATTATTCATAAAAGAACAACTCTTAAACAGTGAAAGCAACACCCCCCCCCCCCCCCCCCCCCCCAAACTTAAACTTGATCCGTGTTTTGGAGTAATAAGCATTGTGTACAAGGTTCATAAAATTTATCGAGAGCGGAGACCAATTAGGGGACGTAATTATAAGCCTTAATGCCAGTCACCTAGCCATGGGAATATCATTTCTAAACAACAAATGGTACATTTAGTTTTAATAATGAATATGAACAACAGTAGAGTTAACGTTAACTTTGAATGAAGCCATCAACCCATTTACAGAAATAGCATGACATTATGTCGATACAACTGAGTTGAAAAAGAATTCCAATCAAGAAAAGTGGTTTCTGTTCATCATAGACTTTTCTTTGTCAGCTATCCGCAGCTTTCTCTTCATCAACTTCAGTGAGAGAGTTCATGCTGATCATCATTCAAAGAAAACCAATTAAATTGGCCCAATAATTTAATGTTTTCAGTCAATGCTGCAACTAAAAAGCTTAATTTGCTGTTACCCGCAAATATTTATATATAGTATTTCCCTAGTTTATACTTACTTTTAAAATTTGAAAGTAGAGCAACATCTAAGATTTAATAGTAAGCTATAAAAATACAATTCAGCTCTATTTTCTGTGAAGGAGACTGCTTTTAGAAAATAATCAGCAGTGTTTCTGCTAACCCATGGGCTCCCCGAAATGTGCCAGACTGTCAGAAAATCCAACAAGTCATGCTGTTTGGAAGACAAAATTATTGGCAACTCAATGGTCTAAATGTCCAGGAAAATAATACCGCCCATAATTGCAGCCACAATAAAATTTAACCTTATTAACTATCTATTTCTACCATTGATTGTGAATCATTTTTTTTTGGTTTCAACTGGTTAAAACCTTTTGAATAAATAATTTCCCTATCCACCAAATCTCTATTTTCCGCATAAATGGGTAAAAGCATGCATATTTTTTTAAAACCCCAATGCACTTTGCTGATAGGACACTTTATTCACATCAATTTTGCTCAGACTTCCAAGGAAGGTCTAACGGCCATCTTCGAGTCCAAGAACTCTCTGGTGGAAACCGCGAATGAATGGAAAAGTTTTCATCATCGCAAAATTGATATCAAAAGGTTCAGCTCCATCAATTCAACATGTTACAAGCTACAAGTTTCAATATTGGACCCTACCAAATAATACAAATTATTAAGATGCAAGACTTTGAGAAAAGATCAATCTTTAGTATTAGTGTGAATCTGAGGTAGCAAATTATCTCCCTCCTTTCATAGGAGAGAAAGCAGAAACCATTTATATTTGGAATAATTGTAAAGAAAGCCATCCTATATCATTAAGAAGCAAATTATCTTTCTTATTTCAGGTAAAAATCAATGTAAGATGAGCCTATATTAACACAAGAAGTGATTGTTTAAAGCAGAAAACACTTCTTATTTCAGGTGGAAAGACCTTCATTTTATTAAAATTACTTTTTTCATATCAGTTTTGCTCAGACTTCCAAGGAAGGTCTAACGGCCATCTTCGAGTCCAAGAACTCTCTGGTGGAAACCGCGAATGAATGGAAAAGTTTTCATCATTGCAAAATCGATATCAAAATGTTAAATTCCATTAAATCGAAGTATCTGCCTTTCAAGCTTAAGTCTATATTAGGACCTGTAATATTTACCAAGTTAAGTTATCAAATGAACCATAGAAACATACTTGGCATATTACTATATATATTACAAAATCCAGGAAACAGGCCCGATTTTGAAACCATGTCGACAATGAACAATGAACAATGAAAATGAGGTCAGAGTCAAAAAGACAAGTACACCTTCCCATCCATCACATAGTTGACAAAATATTGGAAAACAGTAAAACAATCTGTGGCCACTACTTTGTTGAGGCAGGAATAAAGAAAAAAAAAACTAAGCTTTGAAAAAGTTACCGAAGGCTTTTTGTTCTCCCAAGAAATAATTTTAGTTACACATGCAAGAGACAGGAAGGTTCATTACTTTACTTCATGTATGAGAGTCATAGATTACAATTTGAAGTAGCCAAAGTGTATCAGCATTAAAACATCAAAATATTCAATTATATAGAACATCAGATAACATATACGGGCTTGGGTTATAATCACACAAGTTCATTTGGCAGAATGTTAATCATCATATGTTCTCTGAAGAATTTATACATACAAAGGTTCTTCAAAACCTGGTGATCACCCAGATTTTACTGGTCTTGGAAGAATTTAAAACTATTTGTTTGTATAAACAAAGCCATATTATATAAATTGCTTCGCTGAGCACAGCTGTATACAACCGCAGAGATCCAACCCTGAACAGTTGGGGCAAAAATGGACAAAAAAATTCGTGCTTGATACAGGTCTGAATTTGGATTGTAATTAAATATTTGACACAAAATAGGTTCCTGACACAGAATAACTGTAGTCAAAGAACTTAGAACTGGTTATATGATTTGAATTTATATTCCATTTTTTGCTTTTGTGCAATACACTATGCTGTTGCGAATTGAGCCCCCCCCCCTTTTTTTTGCTTTTGTGCAATACAATATGCTGTTGCAAATTGCCCCCTCCCCCCCTTTTTTATGCAAAAAAAAAAAATATTTGAAAAATTGTTTTAATTTCTGAAATCTGAAAAAATTGCCCCCCCTTCACAATTTCTTTTTTTAAAGTTATTGTCTGGAAACTAGAAAAATGCTTATTTGGGCCCTTTTTGGCCCCTAATTCCTTAACTGTTAGGACTATAACCCCCAAAATCAATCAATCCAACCTTCCTTTTGTGGTTATAAACCTTGTGTTAAAATTTCATAGATTTATATTTACATTTACTAAAGTTATTGTCCGGAAACCAAATGTCTTTGGATGACGACGACGACGCGATACCAATATAAAAATATTGGAAGTAATAAATAATTTAGCTGAGAACTCTTTTTTGTTCACAAGGAAGTCAAGTAAAATTTTCTGCAAATTTCACAAGTTGAATAATCTTATAAATTGTTGAAGACAAAGAAAATAAAAATTGCTCAAGTCTTGCTTTGGAGACTTTCAAGGCAGGCGAGACAAAACTAATTTTAATCCATTACTAAATTACAAAAGTTTTATAATCTCTACTTAATATTTCTTTCTAAAAATTCATTTATCTATCTGTTAACAGAAAAAAAAATTAATCTACCTTTTTAATCTACATGTATGTGCATAAAAAGCTTTAAAAAAAAAAACCGGCACAGAATTTTTTTCAAAATACAAGAAATGAACTATGTCCTGTGTTTTCAATCATATGAATGTAAATTCAGAAATTCCTGTGTGCATTATTTATTATCGAGATTGTTGAACCATGAACAACATAGAAGATTAAATTTTACTATTTAAGGAAATGCTCCATACGAATAATGCTATCAAAATCAAACTACTAGTACTTAAACTACGGTACAATTTTTTCAATTATTAATAATATTGAAAAAGTTTCAGAGTTCACAGTATTTTGTTCTGTTTGAAGTATTATTATTTTATAATGGTTGAGAAATCTAAAGCAAATCATCAATATACCCAAAAACAGAAAACATCAGATAAAATATACGGGCTTGGATTATAATCACATAGTTCATTTGGCAGAATGTTAATCATCATTTGTTCTCTGTAGAATATATATACTGGTTTTCAAATCCTGGGACTCATTTCACAACAAATCTTTTAAGAAAACACTTGCAAGTCAAACATTTCAGCATAACTTGCGATCAATTTCAGTCGTAAGATTTTTGAGAAAAGAGCACCCTGGTGATTACATTATGCAATTACACGAGTTCTAAGAATCAAAATGAAAAAGGATTATCAGAAGTTGTACCATCATCTTCTGCCAACACACATCAGTTCTTCACTCCGTCCATCTTTCTTCCTCCTAAAAAAAAATCGAATATCTACCAGTTTAGAGAAAATGATTAAACTACCTTTGTAGTATATTCCCATCAACGATTTGTAACTTGCACAGCTGTTTTTCTCACAATACAAGAAATGGATTTTATCATGTATGATATCAATCAAGAATACTGTGGATTCATTAATTTTCGTGGGTATCAATTTTCGTGGAGAGAGAAAAAAAGACGTTTCGTGGTATAAGTAAATTCGTGGATTGCTGATTACAAAAAAAAAAAATTCACAGATTCGTAATTCGGTGATTTCTTTTTGATTTAGGAGATCATATAACCTCCTTAGTTTGATCAATAATAAAACAAACAAAACAGAAGGAATTCATTGAAAAAGTTTTGAATTGTCAAAATCCTCGCTTGGTCATTCTAGGTTAAAGTGTTCATTGAAAACTTCTATTACAATAATGGACAGAGACAACTAATTATTTGTTTGTTTTACAATTTATAAATTCTTGTCGGAATTTTATAAGGCATTCAAAACTCTGATTGAAAGCTCTTTTCCCTAATCACGATATAATAAACAGTTATATAAGTAAAAGGTTTGAAAAATAAATGTTCCTGTCATAAACAATATTACCTACGGGCAATATCCCTGTACTTAATCCTATTGATTTTTAATCACCAGTAAACCAAACTATGGCACGGTAATTAACAACTTGCAGTTATTTTCCATGAAAAGTTTTAATCAATTTGAAAAAGTAAATTATCACTGATATTCGATATATTTATTATTGATTTAATCAAAATACTTGTATCTCTTTCAATAAAAACACATGTTATGTTACAATGTTTATCGCTAGTCAACACTATACTAGAACTGCATAAGATAACTGGAAATAAACATACGACTCCATACACATTTCTCGGGATTATTCTTCGTTGAATTCATAAATTTGTGGTTCGCTGTTACCCACGAAACCCACGAAAATTGGTATACCACGAATAAAAATGAATCCACAGTACTCTGTCCTAAACGTTTATAATTGTGTGACAGGATTGCTTCCCTTTAGTAGATAGGTAGTCAGCTGTAAGCGGTTGAACTAAGGAAGTACTTTTTTTAGCTCTGTCGGTTAGCGCGCTGCCTTGTAACAGAGGTCCCGGGTTCGAGTCCTGGAGGAGACAAAGTGATTTTGTATGTAGAATCATGCTCTCTGGTTACAATTGAATAGAAGTAAAGCATTTTTCTCAAGCAAAACATCAAAATATACAATCAGAGAGAATATCAGATAGAATATACGGGCTTGGGTTATAATCACATCATTCATTTGGCAGAATGTTAATCATCATTTATTCTCTGTAGACTATATATATTATAAATCTTAAAAAAAAAGTTCCTTTGATTGTAGGGATTACCCTGATTTTACTGTCATTGGTTGAATGAAACTGTAAATAAATTGCTTCGCTGAGCGCAGCTGGATACGACCGCAGATGTCCAACCTTGAAAAGTTGGGGCCAAAATGGACACCATATTCACGCTTGATACAGGTCTGAATTTGGATTGTAATTAAATTTTTGACACAGAATAACTGTAGTCAAAGAACTTCAAATGGGTTATATGATTTGAATTTATATTCAATTTTTTGCTTTTGTGCAAGACACTGTGCGAATTGACACCCCCCCCCCTTTCAAAATTTTTTTTTTACCCCGTTTGTTTGAGTTTGTGCATAAAAGTATTTGAAGAAATTTTCTTTTAATTTCTGAAATATGAAATGAGAAAAATTGTCCCCCTCCAATTTTTTTCACCTCCCCCTTCCCCTTATTCAAAAAAATAATTATTTCCCTCAAGTTATGGTCAGTATCTCAATCATCATTTCTTAATACATAATTTACAAGCAGTGTAAGGGAGGTATTCAAACATTATTTAAATTGATTTGGATTACCTCCCTTACACTGCTTTTAAATTGTCTCCAATTGTCCTTTAACCAGAAAAACCCTTGTTTTTCCCGTAATTCCTAAATGGTTTGAGCCATAACCCCCCAAAGTCAATCCTAACCATCCCTTTGTAGTATGGAAACTTGTGGTATAATTTCAGAGAGATTCACACACTTTAACACAAGTTATTGTCTGGAAACTACAAAAATGCTTATTTGGACCCCTTATTCCTAAACAGTTGGGACCATAACCCCCAAAATCAATCCCAACCTTCCTTTAATGGTTATAAACCTTGTGTTAAAATTTTATTGATTTCTATTTACTTATACTAAAGTTATTATCCGGAAACCATCTGTCTTCGGACGATGCTTATGACCTTGCGGTCGTATAAAAATAGGAGTTAAAGGAAATTATAGGAATTTCAGATTGAACCATGTATTCTTTTTTAATCCTAAAAAATATTTTTTTGCCCTCGTATAGTTATCTTTTGCATGAAGAAATGAATAACTGTTACCGTATAAATTACAATTAGTTATTGTTACCGATTTAATATGTTGGCCAAAAAGTGCAACATTAACAAAGAACAGTTGTATACAACCTTGTTCTTATGTCTTCTAAAATACTGTAAATTCAGAAATTATTGCGTGCAGTTATTATTGCGATTTTGTCATTTTTGACCTAAATGCGATTTTAATTTTTACGATTTTGGGGAAAATCCTGTTTAATTCATACAAAATATTTCAAAATGCGAGTTAAAATTATTGCGTTTACAACTCTGTCGCATTTTTCGCAATAATAAAAACCTCGCATTAATTTCTGAATTTACAGTAGTTGTCACATTGGCAAGCATATCATCTTTATATAAAGGTTGTTAAGTGAAGGAAAAAGCAAGCCAGTCTTAGCCTACACTTGCTTTCAAGGTCAGAAAAATATGAAAATCAAATTAAAAAACTTGACCTACCTGACTCAATATAACAAGGATCATGCTCTTCTATCTGTTCTGTTTCATAAACACTCATGTCAGTTCTTTGATCTCTAAAATAGTCAAGCAGTTTGATTTTTATAAATCCTATCTAAATCTTATTTTAACAGTTCCTTTAGATTATGTTCATTCACCCAAATATCATTTTTCTCCAATTCTTATCAGAAGTTACTACAGGATATCAGACAAGTGAATCTACATGGATGATTAAGAGAGATTCCCATTTCACTCAGTTCATCATATATCCAGATTCAATTCTTATTGTATTATTTCTGTTAATATGCTCCTTTTTTAATCTTGTTAATTTTTCACAGGACAGAACTATTGAAGTTTGGGAGTGAAAAGCTGAGTTGATACAATCAGTCAACATTGAACACTTCCAGAATTATTTTTTCTGTGAAGGAATTACCTTCTGACATCAAGAAACAGGTTTTAATGTTTTTACTTTCTAGTTGCCATAACTCTTTGACCAGGAAATTCAACATAACATAGCACTGGAATAATACATATAACAATAATTTCAAACCTTTTACAAGAGAACCTGAAAACTGAACAAGTTGATCATCTACTTTGAATCAATAGAAAAGATCTGAAGACCTGTACACAAAATTATTATTAGTAGTAATCAGATTAAGTCAGAATCATCTCCCTTTGGCGATTGACCCAGATCCTTTTCTGGCCACAACAGAACGTTGTGACCAGCAAGTCACCGAGAATTTCCTTAGGGTCAAATGACACGCATGATTTCATCATTTTACTATATTCTGTAAGAGTCAAACATATGACAAATTCTATTGAATGCACTCACAAGTTTATATCTATACATAGAAATCCTACTACTCATCCAAACAAAAGAAGAACCAAGAAAGTTGTAATGTTTGTCATGTTTTTTGTTGTTGAAGAATTCCTTATACTATATATGGTGATGCCAAAATTAAAGCTTCATATGTGGAATCACCAAGAGAATTTAGGTCACAAGTGTCCCAAGAATTTTCCATAGAATGAGCATCATTTCAAACAAATTAAAAGTCCCTCAAAAAATTAGGTTCCAGATGGACTTCCCAGTGTAAATAAATATTCTGCCACATTCCCTCAAAACAAAAGACTTTAAACAATAGCCAATGTAGGAAAACACAAGCCTGCTAAGTTCTGCATGTTAAATAATAACTTTGCTGTATCAGTTAGGGGCGAAAATTTGTCAATCACTGAATATCAGTTGAACTATGAAATCATCATTTACAGCACAGTATAGTTTAATTTTCTATTACAGTAATTGTGATACTGTAACTGTTGTCTGGTGTCTTTCAGGTATAGTTTTTTCTTCTTCAAATTTTGAATTGCTATCAAATGGAAAAAGAAATTTCCCTTTTTTATATAACAAAAAACATTGAAAGCTATGTTTAAGCAAGAAACCGTGCATGTATAAAATTTAAGAAGTTTTATTTTAAAGTTTCGGGTAAATACATATCCATGCCAAAATAACACAATTTTGAGTCAACAGCAAGTGGAAATTAGTGGTTCAACACATCATCTCAGACTTACACATAACTCATTTCATTTTCATAAAATATCCTTTCCACATAACCCTATGTCAGTACCTTAAGATGGTAACAAACCAGTGAATAATTCCATAAGAATTGTCCACTCTTTGTCAACAAGCATTCTGTGAGTATTGCATGGCAATACATAGTTCCCTACCGGTTAGAAATTCATTGTAATGGAACGAAATTCTAACGATCTATAACTTGTCATGGTGTAAACTACATCAGCCTTCACGCTTAACTTTTGAGTCCACAAGCCAGTAGCTCAATTTTTTAAAAATTTTAGATGGATTCTGTTGGCTAGTAGAGAAGAATTTTACAAGTCCGAAAGCAATTTTACAAGCCAATGCTGTAGGACTTGTGGTTAAGCATGAAGACTGCTACATAAAAATATCAAGTCAAAATCCTCAAGCATGAAGAAAAAACTGCTTCGCTGAGCGCAGCTGGATACGCCCGCAGAAGTCCAACCCTGAACAGTTGGGGCAAAAATGGACACAATATTCAAGCTTGATACAGGTCAGAATTTGGATTGTAATTAAATATTTGACATATTACAGGTTTCTGAATAAATGTAGTCAAAGAACTTGAAATTGGTTATATGAATTGAATTTATATTCAATTAAAGATTTTTTGCTGTTGTGCAATACACTGTGCTGTTGCGCAATACTTAGTAAATCTGTTGTCAGACTATAAACAAATAAAGTTCAATTAATTCTCAATGTCATATTAGAAATGTATGAAAATCAAAAGGGAGCTTACATCAATAGATATAAACAATTCACCAAAGTTTCATGAGAATTGCTGACAGCATTTTTGAGTTATTGTCCGAAAACTGGAAAATCACCCCTTTTTTAATGAATAAAACCCCATAACTCAGAAATGTAAAATGTAAAATTTATAAAATTCTAAAGGGAGCTTACCTAAATAGATATAAACAATTCACCATAGTTTCATAAGAACTGCTGAAAGCATTTTTGAGTTTTTGTCAGAAAACTGGAAAATCCCCCTTTTTTATGAATAAAACCCTGTAACTCGGAAACGTAAAATCTAAAATTTATAAAAATCAAAAGGGAGCTCATGTCAATAGATATAAACAATTCACCACAATTTCTTGCAAGTTGGTGAAAGCATTCTTGAGTTATTGTCCAAAAACTGGAAAATCCCCCTTTTTTTAATGAATAAAACCCCATAACTCAGAAACGTAAAATTCAAAATTTATAAAAAACGAAAGGGAGCTCACGTCAATAGAGATAAACAATTCACCAAAGTTTTATGCAAATTGGTTAAAGCGTTTTTGAGTTAATGTCCGACATGTTGACGACGGACAGACGGACAACGGTATACCATAATACGTCCAGTAAACGGGCGTATAAAAAAACTGTTGAAAACTGATTATTTAAGTGAATTTTCTATGTCCAAAGACCACAACTCTGCACAAAATCATCAGACAGGAACAAAATTCCAACTTGATCTGTAATTTGTCATGATAAAACTATATACTAATTATCAAATCAATATTTTCAAGAATGACCAACAAACCTACCACTAAATTCAAACAATTTACCAAAGAAAAGGAAAAACATCCAAAAAATCGTTTAATAAAATGCTCCGCAGGGCGCAGCTTGATACGACCGCAGAGGTCGAACCCTGAACAGTTGGGTCAAGTATGGACACAACATTCAAGCTTGATACAGCTCTGAATTTGGATTGTGATTAAATATTTGACACAGCATAGGTTTCTGACACAGAATGAATGTGGTCCAAGAACTTAAAAATTTTAAATTGGACATTCACCTATTATGGTCTAATATCCAAAATCTAAATACATGGTTAGATTCAGCATATCAAAGAACCCCAAGAATTCAATTTTTGATGAAATCAAACAAAGTTTAATTTTGGAACCTTTTGACCTCAATGTGGACAAAGTTGATAACGGGGCCCAAAAATCAAAATACATGGTTAGATTCAGCATATCAAAGAACCCCATATATTCAATTTTTGTTGAAATCAAACAAAGTTTAATTTTGGACCCAGATTTGGACCAACTTAAAAACTGGGCCCATAATAAAAAATCTAAATACATGTTTAGATTCAGAATATCAAAGAACCCTAAGAATTCAATTTTTGTTAAAATCAAACTTACTTTAATTTTGGACCCTTTGGACCTCAATGTGGACCAATTTAAAAACGGGGCCCAAAATCCAAAAAACACGGTTAGATTCAGCATATTAAAGAACCCCAAGAATTCAAGAATAAAACCCCATTGAAATTGGTCAAGAAATAAGCAATTTATACAAAGTATCTTCTTTTGCACAATACTGTGCAATTAAATATTTCTTGCTATTGTGCAATACTGCACAATTGACAATTTCTTGCTATTGCGCAATATTGTGCTATTGGATATTTCTTGCTATTGCGCAATACTGTGCAATTGAAGATTTCTTGCTATTGACCAGACCAAACTCAATTCCAGCTTCTCCTTTGTGATATGGAACCTTGTAGTACAATTTCAGAAAGATTCATACACTTTCACACAAGTTATTGTCATGAAACTAGAAAAATGCTTGTTTTTTTGCCCCTTATTCCTAATATTTTGAGGCAATTACCCCCAAAATCAATCCCAGCCTTCCCTTTGTGATATGGAACCTTGTGGTACAATGTCAGAGAGATCCATACCCTAACACACAAGTTATGTCTGGAAGTTACAAAAATGATTATTTTTGGCCCCTAATTCCTTTACTGTTGGTACCATAACCCCCAAAATCAATCCCAACCTTCCTTTTGTGGTATTGAACCTTATGGTAAAATTTCATAGAGATCCATTCACTTAAACTAAAGTTAGAGTGCGAAAACCAATGTGTCTTCTGACGACGCCAGACGACGACAACGTCATACCAATATACGACCGCAAAAATTTTTGCGGTCGTATAAAAAATGAGTTATTTCCCATTGATCAGAAATCTACTAATTAATAAGTATTTCATCAAAAATTTAATTCTTGGGAAAGGGCTTTAACTGAACAAAGAGAAAAGCTAAAATCGTGAAAATTGAACTTGACCTGTAACTTGAATAAATCAATAAACCAAATATCAAATCAATATCTTCAAGCACGAGGGAAAAAAGTCTGGAAAACTGATTTGCCGGACTGACAGATAGACAGACGGAGTGCAAACCTAAAGTCCCCTTCGACTTCGTCGGTAGGGGACTAAAAAGTAAAAGTTACACAGTTGCCATATCTTGGGGATTAAAAAGAACCGCATCATTTTAATGAATAGGGCTCTTAATCAAAACTGCAGTCTCTCTGGAATATGGCCTTATCTAAATTTCACTCTCCGACTTATTTTTACAAGCTGTCTCAGACGGGGGCATTTGCTATCTATCACAGAACATCAGCTCCTGCATTCATCATAAACAGCTATTTTCACTAGTCCTTTTCAAGACTAGATTATTGAAGCAAGTTGCACTATACACAATGTTGACTACAAACAAACAAGATCCTTTAGGAAACTGGATATTATAATGGCCATATGTTGTTATCAATCAAAGTTTGAAACTGAGCACGCTATCCCCAAGGTCTGCATTCATGCCTATAGAATAGAAAATTTGTACTTCCTTAAACATTCAAATTCCCAGTGGCAATTATTTTGTGCATATTAAAGAGTTTTGAGACGAAAACAATTCATGATCCCAGCTTCTTAAATTGAATATCTGATGCAAGCCAACAGTGTCTAGAAACAAAAGTCCTATTTCATATATATGTTCAAAAGAAATAAATGGGGAATGTGTCCATGGGACACAGATGATGCCCCCCACTTGCACACAACGTTTATAAAGGGACATAAATCGAGAATAAAGTGACGCTCCCAAAATTCGTACTTGATCGGAGTTTTGTGGAAATAAGCATTGTGTACAAGTTTCATTTGGTTGAGACAAACTGAAGTTCGAGAACAGAAATGAATAAACTGCTTCGATGAGCGCAGCTGGATACGCCCGCAGAGGTCCAACCCTGAACAGTTGGGGCAAAAAAGGACAATATTCAAGCTTGAAACAGGTCTGAATTTGGATTGTAATTAAATATTTGACATATTATAGGTTTCTGAATAAATGTAGTCAAAGAACTTGAAATTGGTTATATGAATTGAATTTATATTCAATTAAAGATTTCTTTCTGTTGTGCAATACACTGTGCTGTTGCGCAATACTAGTAAATCTGTTGTCAGACTATAAACAAATTAAGTTCAATAACTTCTCAATGTTATATTGGAAATTTATAAAAAAAAATAAAGGGAGGTTATCTTAATAGATATAAATCAGTCATCAAAGTTTAATGAAAACTGCTCTAAGCACTTTTAGGATATTGTCCAAAAACTTGAAAATCACCCCTTTTTTTATGAATAAAATCTTGTAACTCGGAAATATAAAATCTAAAATTTATAAAAATCAAAAGGGAGCTTACAACAATAGATATAAACAATTTAACAAAGTTTCATAAAATATGCTGAAAGCATTTTTGAGTTATTGTCCGAAAACAGGAATATCCCCCTTTTTGTAACAAATAAAACCCCATAAATCAGAAACGTTTTGTCTAAAATTTATAAAAATCAAAAGGGAGCTCATGTCGATAGCATTAAACAATTCACCAAAGTTTCTTGCAAATTGGTGAAATTGTTTTTGAGTTATTGTCTGAAAACTGGAAAATCCCCCCTTTTTTAATGAATAAAACTCCAAAATTCGGAAACGGTAAATCCGAAATTTATAAAAAAGGAAAGGGAGCTCACGTCAATAGATATAAACAATTCACCAAAGTTTCATGCATATTGGTAAAAGCGTTTTTGATTTAATGTCTGACATGTTGACGACGGACGGTCAACGGTATACCATAATACGTCCCGTAAACGGGCGTATAAAAATTCAGCAATTTTTCCATTTGTAAAGGGGCACAAATCTTAATAGGTAAAAGTGACACCACCCAAATTCAGACTTGATGTGTGTTATGAGGTAATAAGCATTGTGTGTAAGTTTCATAACATTTGGTTGAAGCAAATTAAAGTTAGAGAACGGAAACCAATTTCGGGATGTACGGACAAGGATAAAACTTAATGCCCCCTACGCTATGACAAGGGCATAAAAAAATTATCTTCTGTGTATAGAGGCAGACAAAATATTATTCCTTAATGCGATAGAAAATTGCTGTATCAGTTAGGGGCGAAATTTGTCTTTCACTGAAAGTCAGTTGAACTATGAAATCATCATTTACAGCACAACATGTCAGAATTATTGTTCAATGGACCAGTAATTTAATTATTATTTCCACAAAATTTACTTAACATTGATTATTGCTTTGAAATGTCCAGTGGCAAATATTTCATGCATATTAAGGACAATCTTCTTTAGAAAACATTTTATTTGGAGGATTCTTCGGTTTTCACTAGACCTCTTGCCTACGAGTTCTCTTGGCCAGTATACAATACATGTATTGCTGCTTTGGTCGGTGATGTGGAACACGATATAAAACAATGGGTTTCTGGTATTGCTATTGGTAATGCTCATCTAGGATCAAACACCACAAGAAGTCTCCTGCTGACCAACAACAAACTGATTTGCATATAGGGCAAACTTACCTACATTTTAGGCCAGCAATTTTTTATCACTTGTAGACACTATACAGAGAACTACAACTTCCAATTTCATCTTAATTTTTTAAATACTGCATCGTCTCAGACGGGGGCATTTGCTATCTATCATAGTAATCAGCCTCTGCATTCATCAGCAACAATGAAGATTAGTGTAAAGAAAAAAATGTTTATACCTGCAAACAGGACTGTTGCAACTTTGGGGATAAAACAAATTTCTAAAACCCAATGGATATGTTTTGCAATTTTTCAGGATAAACATCACAAGTGATCAGCAATGAAATGAGATTTTAGACTTCACTTTCAATGATCTTCCCAGCATTGAAATTCAAAACATTTAGACCAAATCATTTCCCAATTATAATTCTATAACCAGATAGCTAATTCTTTTTGTGTCTAGACCAAATAACTGGTACACATGCAAGTATATATGAATGACGGGTATTTCATTGTTGGGTCAGATCAGATGACAGGTATTTCATTGTTGGGTCAGATCAAGTCAAATTGCTTCTAAATATCAATCAAGGATTTTATTGTCTTTAAATCAGGACTCGATTCAGTTCTACACAATAAGATAGTTTTTGCCTACAATTAACATTTTTAGGTCTGCCACAACTCTAATAGTAAGTTTTCAACTTGTCAATCATTAATAATTCAAGTCTCCATCAGCTGCATGAACAAACCTACCTAGTGACCAGTAAAATGTAGTACGAGACCTATAAATCAAACTAAGAGAACTTTACTATACCAGTTAATATATTTCATGCTGCTGTCAGAATTCAGATTGTAATCATTTATGATCATATGTCCCTATCTGAATTTGAATCATCATTCCAGCAGGAGTAAGGAACAACATTCTTACACAAGTGCTTCCATTGCAGGTATTTATATGCCATGCATTAGAAACTTTTGTAGAATTTCCTTTATAATCTGTTGCAATTTATAACCCATGGAATCTACAAGAATCTTCAGAATTCTCAGTCTCAAACACTACATTTAACATGCACTTCAAAATTAGATGGAAGCATTCATTTTACTACATTTCCCATATGGCAAAAAAAAAATATATGCTTGTTTCTTGCCTCCCGATGGACCCTAAAGTTTTGATGACAGAACCCAAAAATATTCCATTGCCTTCCCAAAAAATTATTCTCTAATTTGCAATAAGATCGACGCATATCGAGTGTAGAAGTTGTCAAACCATTGAAAATCATAAATTACATCAGGCATGCGCAAATTATCAGATGCACAAGTATAAAACAGGACCAAACTCAAGAGAATACATGAAACTTTTCCAGACTTTAACATGCATAAAATAATTTCCTGACCAACAGACCCTATTTTAAAATGGTTGAAGGCAATTTTGGGCACATTATATTTGTGTTAAAGTTAAACATCCTAGCTGCATGTACATGTAAATGTACAAGACTTACCAATATATTATTTTAAATTACTTTATATCCCTGAAACATATGCCCTATATAAAGAGGTTGTTGATGGAACCATGTTTTTTTTTATAACTGTAAATGCATACAATTATGTACTTTTTTATACACAATTCAAGTGTCTTTTTTGTATATTTAATTAATTTTAAATTGAATCAATAAATATGTTCAAGATTGTGCCCTTCCCTATTATTACAAAATACAAAACAAAACAATATGGATGGGTATGCCCATTAGACTGTTTTTTACTTTATATAAAACAAGTGACCATAGCTTGTTCTACAGATTCATCATAAATGTACTTACATACCATATTCACTGAATCCTCTTCCAATGTTTTAACTGGCATAGTCTCTTATGGTTCTATTAATAATTCTGTAAAAAGAAACTCAACAAGTAAGATTTTAAGTACTATGTAGAATTGTAGATACATTGAATAAAGCTAAAATTCGCCAAGGTGTATGAAGTTTTAATTTGACATTCAGAACAAGCAGTGGAATCATCAATTTCATAGCCCAATGCTCGATGTTTCATCCCAATGTCATCATCAAAACAGTTCACACCTGTCAAATATTGCCACATAATGCCTACATCACGCTTATTGACAAATTTCCTACATGTATTTAACTTAATCCAACGAATCAAAATATCAAATGCCTGGACTTTTTTTATTATCTACAAAAATGTACCTATTGCACGCTCGATTAAATTGATTCCCGATTGTTTGCATCAAAGTGATTGTCCTAATAAATATGCCAGGAAAGGTGATGAACAGTAGAATACATTATGTTACACTTGGGCATAAATAACTTGCATTTTTTTAAATTTGACATTCCTAGCAAGCAGTAGAATCATTACATTTCATAGCCCAATGCTAGATAGTTTCATCCCAATGTCACTACTGCTTTATCGCAAAACTGATATTACTACATGTATTTTCACAAGATGTCGCATAAATTGTTATGCAATTGTATTTCTATGGGAATATATTAGGCCGAGAAAAAAAAAATCTGTGTTTCCGGTAACCCGACCGACCGTGTTTTTCAGCCCCGACCCTAATTTTTATTGGATCTTCAAAAAAAAAAATGGTATCAACCGACCCTGTTTTTGACACAGGCTTCAGTCAACCAACATAATTATTTATTTAACTTGCTCAACTGGCACAGAAAGCCAGTAAAACATTTTATTTATGTCAAAAGGTATTCCAAATAGGTTAAAATCCAAGAAATTTGCACAGCAGGTGCTTTAAAAACATTGCAAATGGCCGCACTTCCGGTATTTGAAACTAATTACGGACCCGGACTTGGAAAAACCATGATAATTTTCCGGATTTCATTTACAATGTCAAAAAAAAAAAAAAAAAAAAAATCTGACCTACCGACCCTATTTTTCAAAATGATGTTACCGGAAACAGGTTTTTTTTTTTAGGCCTTATAATTTTTATTTGATAGAATGCATGCCCTAGAGACATGCAACTAGTAAAAAAATAAAGACACTTTAAAATGATGCCTTCCATTAAACTTTAATAATTTAAAAAAGTTTTACTGTACAAATGGTCTCTATATTAAGACTGCAGACCTTCATTTCTCAATTTTACAAAATTCTTTTATAACTGGGCAACAGAGAACAAATTACCATTTAGCTACATATGTATTATCTTGAATACGAGAATTAGGTGGTACAATTGTAAATTAAAAGCTTTCCACATTTACCACTTTTTAGGGCCACATTGGAAATCAGGGAAGACAACTAAAACTGTTCAATACCATTTACAAAATGTAAAAATGCACTGATTAAATTTCAATCAGTAGGCCATGAAATAAGAATTCATTTTCTCAAGATCAGAATCAGCTTACTATGAATATTATATATTTTGTTGATGTTCATGAATGGCAAAACTCTCCCTCCCATCATGATATTAAGTTGACCAACAAAATGTGCAGCGAGTCATACATGAATATAAAAGAAAGATAAACTTGAAAATTAAGAATGTCACTTCAGACAACCAAATGGCATCAGATATAACAGTGAGCTAAGATGAGGTGAGTAAGCCTCGCTCACTGATATATAAGAAGGATCTATTGAAAACATCATTAGTGACATGGTTTGTATGTGGAAAATGAAATCTTCCAATGATTTAAGTTGTGAAATGAATGCTCGAGGTATATGCTGCATGCATATAGAAATATTTTCAATGGTAGACAGGTGAGATGAAAAGGACAAGTCTTCAATAGTATTATACATAATTCACGAATTTATAATTTTCTGGTGGAAAAATGCAAGGGTATATCTGGAAATCAAAAAACGCACTTAATTTTTTTTGGGGCCTGATGCCCTTCCATGTTACACAACATGCATCTTTGGTCCAGGGTTTCCAAAAAATATTTGAACCAACCAGACATTTTTTTCCATTATCCTGATTTTAATCCCTATAGACATAGTAACAGAAGGCAATCATGGTAATTGGGCTTCATGTCAAAATGTTTAACATAGAACCAGATTTAATTTTAGACTTTTGATATAGATTTGATGTTTTGACCTAAATTTTTGACTTCATCATATTAAGTGTGCCATATCAGATTATCATTTTTAGCCTTACTCTCATTATTAATGCAAAATTAGCTGTCAAAACCTCTACTTTCTTTTAAAAAGCACATTTTCCTAATACCTGATGTCGACTTCACATTGGTCAGACATGGACAATAGACGGATACATAAAATCCATGCATGTTTACAAAGGATAATTGACGAGTTAAGGTAGTTCTTTCCACATTATTTCTTCAAGAAAATACAAGAATGCAAGATAAAGATATTCCAAGTATTTTTGCAGAATTTGAATGCACAATTAAATATCACACCTGCCAACACCAAGAACTTATTCAAACAACACGATTCTGACAATTTTATCCTTAAAACCTTTAGAACTGTCATTTTGAATGTACAATTAAATGATATTTTGATATAAATTCTGATAGCTAATTATTTTTTAACTAAATTAGATGCATGCAAACCCATGAAATTTAAGAAAATAACTTAAGATAGACTGATCGATGACAGGAACAAAATAATTTACCGGTCGCTTGGAGAGTTAAATTTCAGGTGTCAATATAACTAATTAACCTGGATTTTAATGAGGGGGTATTTGAGAAGGGCTTACTTTATAATACTTATTCGTTTCATCATGTTACTTTAATCCCAGAAATGTGTGGCTGTTCAAGACAAAAGGTTGGGTCTAAAAGACCACATAGACTTCCTATTTTTTTTCTGAATTTATGTTAAAAAGGCAAACCCATGTTATATGGCTGGTTCAGGCTCAGCACCAAGTATGTACATGTAGTGCAGAATATAATTTGTTGGACTTGTCAGCACAATACAAGTTTTGGAAGCCTTGATTTGGTCACCATACTTCTCTAGTGTCATGAAAATGTTCCGTGTCCATTCAGTTAGAGCTAATACTGTATTTGTTCATCAACAAAATCAGAATACCCAATACAATAATCATCATCGTGACACTTGTGAAATCATGACTACAGGTGTAAACTATTTATTTACAGATCCCTTGCCCATGAGGCATGACTAAGCAGTGTTCTACCAAAACCATTTTAATGATATCCTATTTGCACCATGGATCTATTTGAGGGTACAAATCAGCACCTGGTCAAATCGGCACCTTTTTAAAGTCATTTCAGCATTTGACAATTCAACTAGCACCTGGGACTACTATATACTAGAGTAAGTATAATAGTCCCAGCTGGCAACTTATTTTTTTACTGCATTCTTTCCTTTTGTCAAGTTTTGATTGTCAAGCCCAGTGTTCTCCCCAGGCCCTTAAAGGACCACGATGTATAATTTTTGACCGTGGTGGTAACGGTCTTACTGCGATGTATAAAATTTTTACCGTGGTGCTAAAATTTTCAGTAAAAAAAATTCATAAATCTGTAAAGTTTTTAGCCATTTGTTAAATCTTTTCCATGCGGTATAAAATTCCAGGTGAAATCTGACCAGTTCAAACCAGTTTACCCAGTTTGTTGACACCACGTGATCGATTTACTTCATGAGGTTAACCTTGTTGATTGGATTTAATCGATGTAATTAACACTCGTTGCATTATTCTTTTGTGTTTTATTTAGTTTATTAACTTTATGATCAATGATAACTATTTTATGGCTTTGCTCACAACCCAAGCGCTGACCTGTGAATACTTTGTACACAAACAGTGTGAACCCGATAGTTGCACACATGCCTGTACATTTTTTGTACATTATAAAGTTGGCTCATTAGTATAGTATAATATGTCTGATTAAACCATGGCCTAATTTTCTTTAATTATGACATACTTACATGTAATGCATGATAAAGTTTAGAATAATAGCAACAACTGCTAAAAAACCCAGAAATAATCGAAGGGTAAACTCCAAAATATCAAGAATAAAAAGATCTGGTCATATTCATCTTTTTTGCAGTCAACACTTTAAACTTAGCTCCCTTAGTGATTAAGATGATAACACAATGTTGACTGCTGTACCCCTATTTTAGACATTTTTACCTATTGTGTCTGTTTGTTTTGTTCACACATCGTTGTCAATATAATGGAATTTGATGCGACTGTCATACAAGCGAGAGGTTTAGCTAGCTATAAAACCAGTTCAATCCACCATTTTCTACATAGGAAAATGCCTGTACCAAGTCAGGAATATGACAGTTGTTATCCATTCGTTTGATGTGTTTGAGCTTTTGATTTTGCCATTTGATAATTTAGGGACTTTCCTTTTTGAATTTTCCTCGGAGTTCAGTATTTTTATGATTTTACTTTTCAGTATCAAAGTAACAACAAAATGTGCAAACTGTATATTTTAGTGGAAACAACTGTTTAAACCTACATGAACATTGCTTTCAAGAGATGCATTATTACGTCTAGGCTACCATTTAAAAGTCGGCAAGTTCCGATATGTGCCAACTCCCAATGCTGCATATTCAAACTTGAATGACGGAAATGGAAAACGCAAAATATTATAAATATGCATGCCGTCAACTGAGTTTGTTCCTCAGTTGTCAATAAAAAGTGGTAAAAGATTTTTCAAAACCAATATCAACAAAGGATTGCTTGGATTATAAATAATATGAAACAGTTGGTCTGCAGCCATATTGTTAACAGGAAGTTTAAGGGAGACAATTTATGGCGGGAAATGTTAATTTATCATGGCTACTCAACGTCCTGTTTATCGTTACATAGTTATATTTCTGGTGAATATAAAGAGGGAATTTTAGTTTTAGAAATTAGTAATTTAAAAAAGGAATATGGCGCTTAAAATGAAAGGACTATTTATTAAAAAAAATCATAGGGATCAGTTCCAACTTAAAACATGTTAGCACGTGGATTTTTAAACCTAGATTTACATCATTTAAATACTAATAATGAATATTGTGGGCGGTCTATTTATATAATGTACTTATTTTACAATTTATGCCTGTAAATTATGAACTTGTAAATAAAATAAATGTGTTCACTTGCAGCGTCAAGAGATAATTCTACTCTTTTTGAAAAAAGGGGAAATGACAATTTTACCAAGGATTTGTATAGTAAGACTATACAAATCCTTGATTTTGCCAATGCTTTTAAGAGACGATCATTGGATATTCTGGGAAAGGGGGCGGAAGATTATATGTAGGATTCATTTTCATCATCATTCTGAAAAACGGAGGATTCATCATCATGTTTCTGAAAAAGTATTTTTTTTAGCGTCTAAGACGCACGAAAATTTCTTTTTAATTTAAATTGAAAAATAATAAAATGATATTGCTTCACTGGTAAACATTAATCATTATATATGTATATTTGTGCGTGTGTATAGGTGCAGCTTTATGTATTAGTCATAGTGCATTACAATAGTCAATACTAAATTAAATCTTTCGATCAATAAAATGTCTGTAATACACATATTTGAACCAAATAATTATCAAATATACTTGTCTAGTTTTCAGTGAAATGTAAAAAAAGAAAAAGCAATATACCAAATGGATCATACCTTATCAAAAGCACATGTCATCGTCCGCAATATGTGCTTTCCACCCCTCCGTTTCAAGACCAGGCTTCTTCTGATCAACCTCGTGGCCCAATGATTCCTCACGTGATTTAAAGACGGAAATGGAAAGTTGCATCGTTTGTTTCCGTAAGTAAAAAAAAAACAACAGACAAACACACGAACAAGCAAAGAAACATTAAAAGTTCCGCGAAATTCATTTGTCTCTTATTTAAATAAAAAATCTCCCAAACAATGGACAATATTTCAAATACTTGTTTCTTACCGACAAGGATGATAAAGGGGATAAGGATTATTTTAACATACAAATTCTTGAAAATGAAACGATGATCGGAACGAAAAAAAAGTCAAACTGCTGTTTATAATTTTTGAACTGTAGTCGCTCTAATAAGAATAAAAAGTTGTCAGTTACTCCAGGGGCAGTTTTTTAAAGTTCTTTGAAAAAAATAACCCTTTATTGAACCCCGACATGTTCGCTTACATCTTACGGTTATACTTATTTCACTTAAATTCTTTGAAATCATCTAATAAAACATTATAATTGAATGTGCGTTTTATTTTCAAAATCAATAATATTAATTGTAAATTGAATTTAAAAAAGTCATTGGTCATCGGTAAAAATCGCAAATGACGTAGAAACTCTACGGAGTACGTGTCCTTGACTTGAATGAAGAGAAATCCACACGTTGACCAATCACATTACTACGGATGTAAATAATCAACCAATCAGCTTTCGACACGAATCGTAGTAAGGGAAAAAAGACGACACAATCGTGCACATACGACATATCTGAAAGACTGGAAATTGAAGAAGCGACAAGTTAGAAAAAAGAAAAAATCTCTTTAAAGAATTTGAATAATCAAGAAACCTATTCTCCTAATAGAAACACGCAGTAAGTAAAGTAACACACACAATCTATGTTTCAATTGTTTATTTTTTCGGACACCGGCCGGTGTAAAATTTTACACATACAAATACGACGTGACAGTCGTTTTTGACAGCTGGTTTAGTCTTGAGAATTCTTAATTTTCAGGATGGAGCATGTAACATAGTTAACAAAACTGTTAATCTACCTTGGCATTCTATATCTACATGTATTGTATACTATATAAGCATACACAATTTTTAAAGACGATAATTCAAAATCGAACACTAGTAGTACTAGTAGTAGATAAACCAAAAAAAAATGTAATCCACTGTTCACAGTACAAGAAGACATATACCAATGATTTCAATAACGCACTGTACTCAAGAACAAACATAGAGCACATTTAGACAAATAAAAATACCTATGATATGAATAAAGTCTCTATAAAGTAAAAGCAGAACATTACAAGAAGACCGAGAATTCCACAAGGTTTCAGAATACAGGCTGCTGATACAGATAATTAATTTCATATAAAGTAGATCACAACTTTTATCATACTCATATTCTTCTAGTAGACAGAGTTTATTGTAGTCCGATTTTGTTATATATGCCAAGTTTGTTTTAGTTGGGAGTTTGTTATGGGCCAAGTTAACAGGAAGTCCTCAAAATGTTCCAGTCAGTCATTCTATATTATAACGGCAATTATGCTGTTGGGTATACAAATATTTGCCACTCACCAGTCCTAATAAAATATGAAAAAAAGAGGAAGCAAAAATTTAAGATGCCGTGGCTTACAATGTCAATTGTTGATCTATTATGTACAATAGGCCTCTTCACGGTTAGTTTCGGCGAATTATAGTTATCTCGTACCATTGTAAACTCGTACCAATGTCAACTCGTACCACTAAAAAAAACTCGTACCAATGCAAACTCGTACCACTACTAACTCGTACCACGGTAAATTCATACCATTGTAAACTCGTACCAACTTATTTAAATGCATTCAAATGGTGTTTAATGATGAATATATACTTTAATTTCACTCAATACCTCTTAAGTCTGTAAAATGTATATAATTTGAAATTACAATGACCAATTTGTAGCTTATTTTCCTTGTCTAATTGGATAGAGAAAACCGTGGCAGATTGGCTCTGTTGTCTCCCTTGAATAGACTCTTTTTTAAACTTTTACTGACAACTATTTGACTTAATTTTTAATCATTCCAAATCAGTAACATTGAATAGTATTTTTCTATTGGTTCTAAAAGGAATTTTATTTAATGAAAGAATTTATTTATTGTGTTTTAAAGGTTTAAAATTGTTTATGACCAACAGTTAGAAAGTATGAAATTTATTTTTATACAATATTCAGCACATTTTAGCAGAATATGATCATGCTAATATGATTAAACAAGTTGATTAGTTAATAATCAACCAATAATCACACAATCAAAGGAATTTAATATATGTATAAGCATGGTAATTAAGAAATTACATTCGTATTTTTGTCTAAGTTTTCATTAAAATCTGGTATAAAATTCAAAGATATTTTAATTTTTTGTATAAAGCTTAAAAAAAAAAATAATCATAAAAACATTCGTATTTTTGTCTAAGTTTTCATTAAAATCTGGTATAAAATTCAAAGATATTTTAATTTTTTGTATAAAGCTTAAAAAAAAAATAATCATAAAAACATTCGTATTTTTGTCTAAGTTTTCATTAAAATCTAGTATAAAATTCAAGTAATTCAACTTTTTTTATTTAGTTTACCAAAAAAAAAAATCATAAAACATTCGTATTTTTGAATATTTTTAATGGTACGAGTTTGCAGTGGTACGAGTTCTGATTGGTACGACTTCCCAGTGGTACGAGTTTACGTTGGTACGAATTAACTTTTTTGGTACGAGCTTACGTGGTACGAGTTAACAATGGTACGAGTTAACTTGCTTCCGTTTCGGCCATATTGGATAGGGGGCAGATTTTCATAATTAAGGTAAAAATGGTGTGCAAAATACGGGAAAACATCGTTAAAACAGAACAGTGGCTTGGAAACATGCATAGGATTTCCCATACTTTCATACTATTTCCACCTCTTTCAAAAAAATCTGCCCCCTATCCAATATGGCCGAACTAACCCTGAAGGGGCCTATTAGTTTTCATTTCATCACTGGCTTCCAAATTTAGTACATGTACTGACTAGCATTTTAAACATATTGCAAAATAACCCTTTTAGTTTTAGATGTCTTTTGGTTGTTTCACTGTTGGGTTTCTGTCTCTTTGATAACAGCATTATTAAAGCAGTTATTTATACACATAAACAAATATCAAACATTTATATTGTGATACAATACAGTTATAAGAATCAAATAAACTTACAGTAAAATACTTAAATATTGATTGGGAAATTCAGGGCAATTAACTTTTTTTCTCCGAACAAGTAAAATTTACAGCTTTACTTGACAAGGGACAAGTGCTCAAAACAAATATTTCCATACACCTGTAATATCAGTTATATATCGGTGTTTTTAAACATTAATGTCTATTGTAGGAATGAAGTTGATTGGATTGATAGCCCTTTTGGGTTTGAGCTGTGTTATGGCCAAAGATGAAGAATCTAAAAAAGAAAGTGTCGGTACAGTGATTGGTATTGATCTGGGAACAACTTACTCATGGTATGCAAGACATTATATATAAGTTTCAGGGTTTGAAAATTTATATCCCCTTATGAGTGGACACCAGTACAGAAGTTGCACAAGAATTCTTATTGGAAGCTTCTTTTTTTAATTGGACATGGAGTTATACATATACATGTACATGTATTTATCGATGTATGATTTTTTTCATTGATAAAAGTACAAATCTCTAAGTGAGGGCTAATATACATGTATCATTAAAACGTTTAAACCCGCTGCAATTGTTTGCACCTGTCCTAAGTCAGGAATCTGATGTTCAGTAGTTGTCGTTTGTTGATGTGGTTCATAAGTGTTTCTCGTTTTTTATATAGATTAGACCATTGGTTTTCCCGTTTGAATGGTTTTACACTAGTAATTTTTTAGGCCCTTTATAGCTTGCTGTTCGGTGTGAGCCAAGGCTCCGTGTTGAAGACCGTAATTTGAGTACACAGTTATCGTCCTTTGATTTTCGTTGTCCACGAATATAGTCCCTAGTGTGGACAGTGTGTTGCCTGCCAATTTTTTTAGTACCCCTTCCAAATGTATTTCTTCATGTTTTATGCCTCAAATAGCAAGTAGGGGGATTAAATAACACTGTAAAAAAATTTGGGTCATGAATTTTAAAGTAAAGTAGTGATTTGGTCCAGCTGAAAAAGGTTAAAAATTAGCACTTCGGAAGCTGTCAAAAGATTTCAAGACCCCCTTAAAATAGAATTGTCCATATTTTAAGTTAGAGCCGATGAAGTTTTCTATAATTTTGATTTAATTTGTCCCAAAAGTAGTACAACACACTGTAAAAATATTATTGAGAAAGCGCAGGTGGGATTTTTTTTATTTTCATTTATTGTCTAAAAGTAATGCACTACGAAATAACTGTGTTCTCGGACCACCTATAATGGTTTACTTTTATAAATTTTGACTTGGATGGAGAGTTGTCTCATTGGCACTCATACCACATGTACATCTTCTTATATCTATGTTTGTGAAATTAATATCTTAATTTTATTTTCCTAAGAAACATTTGAGCATGATGTTTCTGATTGTATATATATACTCGCTAACTTAATATTCATTGATAAAATATCTTTTATTATAGTGTTGGTGTGTTCAAGAATGGAAGAGTTGAAATAATCGCCAATGATCAAGGTAACAGAATTACACCATCATATGTAGCATTCACAGAGGATGGTGAGCGATTGATTGGTGATGCAGCTAAGAATCAGTTGACAACTAATCCTGAGAATACAGTCTTTGATGTTAAACGTTTGATTGGGCGTGATTGGGATGACAAATCTGTTCAAGCTGACATTAAACACTACCCATTCAAAGTTATTAACAGAAATAGTAAACCAATCATTCAAGTCAATGTTGGAGATAGTCAGAAGAGTTTTGCACCAGAGGAAATCTCTGCTATGGTATTGGGAAAGATGAGAGATATTGCAGAAGGCTTCCTTGGTAAAAAAGTAACCAATGCTGTTGTCACTGTTCCTGCTTACTTCAACGATGCCCAGCGACAGGCTACCAAAGATGCTGGTGTCATTGCAGGTCTTAATGTCATGAGAATTATAAACGAGCCGTAAGTGTGCAGTTTTTTTCATCTTGTTTGTTTTGTTAAGGTTCGATAATCACTCAGATTTTATCAATTAATAACATTGAACACCATGAATTCATACAAATATACAAATAAAATGTCATTAAACAATTATCAGTCAAGCTGCTGTTGTCAGATTGAAATAACATTATAGTTGAATATGATATTAATTGTTTTATAGGTATTGGATATAAAGAATTTTTGGCCATGATAGTGCTCACAGAACAGATGTGATTTATATGCTTTAATAATTTGTTTATGATTCGAAATACATTAATTTATAAATGAGTATGTATAATTTTTTTCAAAGAATAATCACAAAGTCAGTTGAACACTACAAAAGTTTAGTCAACATCTGACATACAATGTATGAACATGAAATATTTTCAAATTAGATAACTGTATTGGTAGACTTTGAGTGTGAATTAGTTTATGATTGTAGTAGAAATAATTTGATTTCATTTCAGAACTGCTGCTGCCATTGCTTATGGTCTTGACAAAAGGGAAGGTGAAAAGAACATCCTTGTTTTTGACCTTGGTGGTGGAACTTTTGACGTATCATTGCTGACTATTGACAATGGTGTGTTTGAGGTTGTTTCGACAAATGGTGACACTCACTTGGGAGGTGAAGACTTTGACCAGAGAGTAATGGAACACTTCATCAAACTATACAAAAAGAAGAAGGGAAAAGACATCAGGAAAGATAACCGTGCTGTCCAGAAACTTAGACGTGAAGTGGAAAAAGCTAAGAGAGCCTTGTCATCTGCCCATCAAGCCAGAATTGAAATAGAATCCTTGTTTGAAGGAGACGACTTCTCTGAAACTTTAACTAGAGCTAGATTTGAAGAACTTAACATGGTAAGCATGTCACTTAATGTATGAAGTGCTAAAGGTTAACATAGCAGAAGCTTTCCTTTTTAGCTCACATGGTCTAAAGTATGTTAAGGGTCATATAAGCAATTTCAATAATTTTGTTTCTATTATTTCAGTTAATGGTGTGACCTATAACTTTTAACTTTTTCTACAGCCGCAAAATTTTATTTTGCCGTTGTATATTGGTATGACGTCTTCGTCATTTTCGCACTCTAACTTTAGTTTAAGTGAATGGATCTCTATTAAATTTTACCATAAGGTTCAATACCACAAAAGGAAGGTTGGGATTGTTTTTTGGGGTTATAGTACCAACAGTTAAGGAAAAAGGGGCTAAAATAAGCATTTTTGTAACTTCCAGACATAACTTTTGTGTTAGTGTATGGATCTCTCTGACATTGTACCACAAGGTTCCATATCACGAAGGGAAGGCTCACTTCATGCTGGGATTGATTTTGGGGGTAATTGCCTCCAAATTTTAGGAATTAGGGGCAAAAAAAAGGGGCAAAAAACAAGCATTTTTCTAGTTTCATGACAATAACTTGTGTGTAAGTGTATGGATCTTTATGAAATTGTACTACAAGGTTCCATATCACAAAGGGAAAGCTGGAATTTAGTTTGTGTGAAATTGCCTAAAACGTTTAGGAAAAAGGGTACAAAAATAAGCATCTTTCTAGTTTCCGGACAATAACTTGTGTTCAAGTGTATGGATCTCTCTGAAATTGTACTGCAAGGTACCATACCACAAAGGGAAGGCTGTGATTGATTTTGGGGGTAATTGCCTCAAAATTTTAGGAATTAGGGGCAAAAAAAACAAGCATTTTTCTAGTTTCAGGAGAATAACTTGTGTGTAAGTGTTTGGATCTTTAAGAAGTTGTACTAAAAGGTTCCATATCACAAAGGGAAAGCTGGATTTGAGTTTGGGTGTAATTGCCCTAAACGTTTAGGAATTTGGGGCCAAAAAACAAGCATTTTTCTAGTTTCCAGACAATAACTTGTGTTCAAGTGTATGGATCTCTCTGAAATTGTACTGCAAGGTACCATACCACAAAGGGAAGGCTGGGATTGAGTTTGGGGGTGATGAATCATAAGGGGGTTCAAAAAATTTGGGGGGGGGATTTTATTTTCTTTAAAATTTTCCATTTTAAATTGGTTATTTCTGATTTATATATAAAAGCAAATAATAATGATATGGTTTGAATAGGTAAATTAAAAAAATTTAAGTTCTTAGACCACATTTTTATGTCAGAAACCTATGCTGTGTCAAATATTTCATCACAATCCAAATTCAGTGCTGTATCAAGCTTGAATGTTGTGTCCATACTTGCCCCAAATGTTCAGGGTTCGACCTCTGTGGTCGTATCAAGCTGCGCCCAGCGGAGCATTTTATTACACATTTTGACTTGAATGGAGAGTTGTCTCATAGACACTCATACCACATCTTCTTATTTCTATGAATAGTGCTTTGATGATTGATTTTTAAATAATTTTTGGTTCTTAGACCCTTACCTGGCATTCAATAAAGCCAATATCAAGGAAGTTTATAATTATATAGGATAATGATTGTAAAGATTTTCTCTACAATGCAAGATGTCAGTTTGAAGCTCGGTCTGAATCATCTTCAGTGTTTTCAGTTTTAATGATGCATGTATATCCACTTTCCACTGGTGTACAGGCCTGTGGAAAGAACTCTAGAGGTCAAGTAGGTTCTCTGGTTTTTAATTGCCCTTAATTTGTTTATTGACTAATATGTTATTATTCAGAAAACAATTTAAATTTGGCAAGTACAAATGTAGTTCTGTTTAGACTAGTATTTACAGTGCCACAAAGTTAAGGTTTTACCGGTACTTCAACGATTGCAGTGACAATATAAGAAGTGTTGAGTTTACAATATTGTCAGGCATGCTACTTGTGACTATTTTTTAAATAGTATTTACTGCAAATTACAAGTGTTTTATTGAGTATTCTTATTTACAGGACTTGTTTAGATCTACTATGAAGCCAGTCCAGAAAGTAATGGAAGATGCAGATATGAAGAAAGAAGAAATTGATGAAATAGTTCTTGTTGGTGGTTCTACCAGGATTCCAAAGATCCAACAGCTTGTCAAAGATTATTTCAATGGAAAAGTAAGTGCATTTCCATTTCATCAAATAATATATAGAATGTATCTTAATTAATAAGCCCTCGATGTTTAGTACAGATAGTGTAATGTGTCTTTACATGAAAAGTTGAAACATTCAGTAGTAAAATGTTTTAATTTGCTAGCAAATGTCTTAAAATTGGTCTGGCAATATTTTGGTTCACTTAGACAAGCTATTGCAATATGTCTGACCAAAGCTCTTGACAAAAATTATAAAAAAAATTGCTTTAATCTGACAAGCTACTCTTAAGACAATTTAAAGGCTGTCTGAAGGAAGATTAATATGACTTTAAAAAAATTCAAACCTTGATTTATTTTATTTTCAAAAGAAAACTACTTGAGATTGAAGTCATATCATCAATTTAAATAATGTTTCATTTGTTTTTTAAAGGAACCTAACAGAGGTGTAAACCCAGATGAGGCTGTTGCCTATGGTGCCGCTGTCCAGGCTGGAGTTCTGGGAGGAGAGGAAGATACTGGTGACTTGCTCTTGTTGGATGTCAATCCATTAACTATGGGTATTGAAACAGTTGGTGGCGTCATGACCAAACTTATCCCAAGAAACACTGTAATTCCAACAAAGAAATCTCAGGTATTCTCTACTGCTGCAGACAATCAACCAACAGTTACAATTCAAGTCCTAGAAGGTGAACGTCCAATGACAAAAGACAACCATCAACTTGGAAAATTCGACCTGACTGGCATTCCACCAGCACCAAGAGGTGTACCACAAATTGAGGTAACCTTTGAAATTGATGTAAATGGTATCCTTAAAGTAAGTGCTGAAGACAAAGGTACAGGAAATAAAAATAATATTGTTATTCAAAATGACAATAACAGATTATCTCCTGATGACATTGAACGTATGATAAATGATGCTGAAAAATTTGCAGATGAAGATAAACAAGTTAAAGAAAAAGTAGAAGCTAAAAATGATATTGAAAGCTTTACATACAATCTTAAAAATCAAATAGGCGATAAAGAAAAGTTGGGAGCAAAATTAAGTGATGATGATAAGAAAACAATAGAAACTGCTGTAGATGAAAAAATTAAATGGTTGGACAGTAATCCTGATGCTACTACTGAAGAACTTAAAGAACAAAAGAAAGCTTTAGAAGAAATTGTCAATCCAATTATAAGTAAAATTTACCAAGGTGCAGGAGGTGCTCCACCACCAGGAGGAGAAGGAGGAGAGGAAGAGGGATCAGAGAAAGACGAATTATAAAAGTGACTCTATTTAGGATGATTAATTTTAATTATTTATTAACACTATTGTGATAGGGTTCTTTTTGTTTTCCATCAAAATCTGGTCTCAAGTAACAAGGTGAAGGTTACATGTTCAATCCAAACATTTGCATGGTTCATTTAAATATTTGAAGTGAACATAAATTTTCATAAAATAGTATAGCTTTAAAGTGGGCATAAAAACCAATTGTGCTTAATTTTCCTCAGTAAATAAGAATGATTTTCTGACCAGATAAAAAGAACTGTAACATTTACAGTACACACAAGGGAATTCTTTCTAAAGTCACCCTTGCTGTTGGTGATGAATCACTGTGAAAAAGGTGATAGCTGGTTAATCTACAAAGAAGTTTTTAGAATGATTTTCCAACTAAACCACCTTGTATGTACTGTATCAAGGCACTGGGGTGTTGTGTGGCTCATTTTCATTAAGAGTGGAAGTTTGGCTCCATACTACTACTAGTTTGAGAGTGATGCATAAAGTTCATATTTTGTTACTCCGTATGAATGATATATATACTTTGTATATACAATATGTTTATACATTTTGTTAGAAATAGTACAACTAGCAGATGAGTAAATGTGTATAAATGTGTATGATAGTGCAATGATTTGTGTGTAAACTTTTTGAAGTAGAGAGGCAAAAATGGTTTTATGAATGTATATATGAAAGTTACATGATATGTTATGAATAAAGTTTATTGTTTGTAAAAAGTTTTGTTTTATGCATAATGGACTACTTGGGTCCTTCAGTTCTACTTGAGTCCATTTGATGTGTGTATTCTATTCAAAAATACATTTTAATTTAACATCTGATTTTCATTTTACAACAAAATATTCTTGTACAATCTGTATCACACTTTTTAGAGCATGAACACGTCATATAAAAAAAAATATTTTGTTTGATAAAGCAACGAACTGTAAATTTGTTTTCCTTTAGTCACATGGAAGTGCTGTATGTACAAGTGAAATCCATAACATATTAAAATCCTGCATAATCTGCAGCCTCAAAACAAGCTTTGTGGCCTTAATTTTTTATTACTTTTAAAAATACAATGTAGCATGATATGGACTACATTTTGTCACTCGAAGTGTTAAAAAATCTTAACATTTTTTTTGTAGTCCAATTATAATACCTTACTAGTAGGGAACTTGAAATATGTAATACAAAATTTCTGAAAATAAATATCATTGTTGATATGGATTAAAGAAAAGGATTGCAAAAGAAAATTCAACATGAAATAAAAACATTGGGGTCATATTAGCATTGCCCCTGGTTTATATTCCTTCTGATAATAGTTTATTTGGAAGTTCTTCACAGTTGCTAGTTAAATTGTAGAAAAGACCTATACATGTGAAAGTAAAAAGTTGCCTCTAGTTGACAAGGACGAAATATAAATGTTGGTGAATATTTTTTTACAAATAAGTCCATTTATTGTTCTACAAAAGGTGGTCTCATGGTATTGTGGAAGGTTGTTTGTTTGATTCCTTGAAGGGTCAAACCATAGACTTTAAATTGGTATTTACTGTTTCACTAAGATCAAGAGAAAAGACTGTTCAGCTCTGAGTCCAAATAATGTGTTTAAGTAAGGTGCTTCCTGCAGATTGTTGCCTTGTAAACTAGCACATTATAGATAAATATGGCTCAGTTTGAAGGCCGTGTACAAAGGTTTCATACACTAATTGCATTAACAAGTTCTTGTCCTGTTATGCATGTATTGCTAATGGATGTAAATCATCAATTATTCACTGACACATAGCAGATGGTGGAACAGAACACTTGCTGAATATGAAATGGATTGAAACATTATTTCAACTGCAAACACACATATGTACAGGAGTAACTCTATCCTTGAAATAAAATATCAGTAACTTTTGAGTGCCTTGAATAAAATACATTGTCATCTGACCTTGACCTCATTCATCGTTCATTGGTCTATATTAAGTTTTCATGGTTAAGTATGTTTCTTAGATCCTATAGGTTGCACTTTGTAAATACAGCTGTTTCTCAAACCACGCCTCTTTTGGGGAGATATAGAATATTCATAGATAATTAATTTTGTTTACATACTGGTTCCCAGTTATGATCTCTAGGTTTCATCTCATAGAGACACAACTTGGGAATGTTACCAGTAAATATACATATGCATATTGTTTATATTGAAATCTGTGGTAATCCTTCAGTCAAGGTAGGGATAGTTAAGAAATTTAGTGTTAGTTAAAACTCTCAGAAGTTCAGGGCATATAAACATTGAAAATATGCCGCACAGCCCTATATTTTGACCTTTGAAAAAAATTGTAGTGCATATGAACTTTCCTTTCTAAGATATGATTTTTTTTCAAAACTTCATAGTAAAAGTTGTACAGTTTTAGCCGTAACAGGAGTTCCTATGGGAAATTGTATTGTCAATATTTACAAAAATGCAACCTATAAGCAATAGGTCAACTAAATTTAATGCATAGATTGATTGTAAGGTGTACATATCTGTCTGGCATGTTTCGTCTGACCTTGACCTCATGTTCATGGTTCATTGGTCAATGTATAAACTTAACTATATTTGGTGTATATAATGATTAAGGTGTACATGTATTTCCGGTTAAGTTTATCTGACCTTGACCTCATTTTCTTGGATCATGTTAAGTTTATGTGATACTGGTAGTAAAGCTTTTATATTTAGGACTCCACATAAAATCAACATCACCCAGTTCAACTTTTATTCATGTACAAAGTATATATAACCTTGTGGTCAAATGCTGATCGGAAGTGTGAAGACTATTTGGCCCTGCCCCTCAGACATGGTCTGTTGACTTTGAAACTTGTGCATAGTTTACATGTGAAAGTTTGTGTCTATGTCGGTTTAAATGGATCCACTAAGTGATAAGACAATCTTAAGTTGTGCAGTTGTAGAAGCTTTGGCACATCTCATTTCCATAGATACTATTTGGCCCATGCCTCCAAGTCATAGCCTATTGCTTTGAAACTTTTAAATAGTTAACATGTTTATAAAGTTTGTTAGGTCAGTCAATGATACTTTTGCAAGGATTCCATATACCAAATATTATTTAATGATATAAGTTTATGGAATCCATACAAGGCGAATCTGACCATTATACCGGGCTCACCTTACCTCGCGAGACCTCATTTCATGGATCAGTGATTAAGGTTAATAGTAACACGATTAGGTCCGTTATCCATATACTATAAGAAGTAGGTCAACTATAATTTAGGTGTATGGGCTGATTGTAGGGTGTACATGTCAGTCAGGCAGGTTTCATTTCATCTCTACCAAATTTTCATTGTTCGTAGATCAATGTTAAGTTTTTATACGCCCGTTTACGGGACGTATTATGGTATACCGTTGTCCGTCTGTCCGTCCGTCGTCAACATGTCGGACATTAACTCAAATACACTTTAACCAATTTGCATAAAACTTTGGTGAATTGTTTATATCTATTGACGTGAGCTCCCTTTCGTTTTTTATAAATTTCAGATTTTTCGTTTCCGAGTTATGGGGTTTTATTCATAAAAAAAGGGGGATTTTCCAGTTTTCGGACAAAAACTCAAAAATGCTTTCAGCAGTTCTTATGAAACTTTGGTGAATTGTTTATATCTATTGATGTAAACTCCCTTTATTTTGTTTTGGTCTATTTCTCAGATATTATAAGTAATAAGTTGACTATATTTTGTTTGAAATGATTATAGTGTATATGTCTTGTTTTAAAATAATCTGTCCGATCGAAACCAAATTAGGAGCGTTTAAGGAAACATTCTACCATTTATCATAGAAACAATAAAATTATCATTGAGCACTCTTTTAAAAGACAACATTTTGACATTTGAAATCTTGAAAATTTGAAATTTGGACTTTTACTCGAAATTTCGATCTTTTTTTAAAGTCAAAATTTCAAGATTGTATTTCGTCGAAATTATGAGTTAGTCAAAATTTTCTTAGATAAAAGTTTCAACGCCAATTTGATTTTTAGCTTACCTGGCCCAAAAGGGCCAAGTGAGCTTTTCTCATCACTTGGCTTCTATCGTCCGTCGTCGTCCGTTAACTTTTACAAAAATCTTCTCCTCTGAAACTACTGGGCCAAATTAAACCAAACTTGGCCTAAATCATCCTTAGGGTATCTAGTTTAAAAAATGTATCCGATGACCCTGCCCATCAACCAAGATGGCCGCCATGGCTAAAAATAGAACATGGGGGGTAAAATGCAGTTTTTGGCTTATATCTCTGAAACTAAAGCATTTAGAGCAAATCAGGTCAAGGTCTATCTGCGATGAAATTTTCAGACGAATCAGACAACCCGTTGTTGGATTACTGCCCCTGAATTGGTAATTTTAAGGAAACTTTGCTGTTTTTGGTTATTATCTTGAATATTATAATAGATAGAGATAAACTGTAAACAGCAAAATTGTTAAGCAAAGTAAGATCTACAAATAAGTCAACATGACCAAAATTGTCAATTGACCCCTCACAATTTTTTGTGAATTTTTGTTAAATTTTACAAAAATCTTCTCCTCTGAAACAACTGGGCCAAATTAAACCAAACTTGGTCTAAATCATCCTTAGGGTATCTAGTTTAAAAAATGTATCCGATGACCCTGCCCATCAACCAAGATGGCCGCCATGGCTAAAAATAGAACATGGGGTAAAATGCAGTTTTTGGCTTATATTTTTGAAATTAAAGCATTAAGAGCAAATCTGACAGCAGGTAAAAATGTCCATCAGGTCAAGATCTATCTGCCCTGAAATTTTCAGACGCATCAGACAACCCGTTGTTGGGTTGCTACCCCTGAATTGGTAATTTTAAGGAAATTTTTCAGTTTTTGGTTTTTATCTTGAATATAATAAGAGATAAACTGTAAACAGCAAAAATGTTCAGCAAAGTAAGCTCTACAAATAAGTCAACATGATCAAAATTGTCAATTGACCCCTTCAGGAGTTATTGCCCTTTAAAGTCAATTTTTCCCAATTTTTCGTAAATTTTTGTAATCTTTTACAAAAATCTTCTCCACTTAATCTACTGGGCCTAAGATAATTAAACTTAGCCACAATTTTCAATAGGGTATCTTGATTTAGAAATGTATCCGATGACCCTGCCATCCAACCAACATGGCTCCCATGGCTTAAAACAGAACTTAGGGGTTTACTATAGAAGTCTATGGGAAAATTGTAAAAAACAAATTCAAATGGTCACAACTTGAAAACTATTTTAAATAAGGATAAGGGGTCTTCAGACAATGGGATGACCTGCTTTTAATTTAACTACTGGGCCAAATTAAACCAAACTTGGTCTCAATCATTATTGGGGTATCTAATACTATTTATTATGATTTTAGCCTTATTTTACATGATTTCCAAAACCACAGTAGATACAGGCGAGCGACACAGGCTCTTGAGAGCCTCTAGTTTTATGTTCCTAAAACGCTTCTGTACCAGATGCCTTTAAGTCTATTTAGTCCCCAAAAAGACTTAAGAACATTTCTTATACTTTTTTGCTTTATAATTAAAAAAAATATGAAATACAACATTTTAGCCGAAAAGGTCAAGTGAGCAATCCTTATCACTTAACTTCTGTCTTTTTTAAAAAAGAGGCGAAAGATACCAAAGTAACATTCAAACTCATAGGTCGAAAATAAACTGACACCGCCATGGCAAAAAAAGAAAAAGACCTAAAGACACACACCATACAGTACACAAAACATAACATAGAAAACTAAAGACTGAGCATCAAAAACCGGGGGTGATATCAGATGTTCCGGAAGGGTGCGCAGATCATGCTCCATATATGGAACCCGTCGTGTTGCTTATGCAAGTACAAACCCGTTGATACGTCTTATTCGGTAGGTCACAGATGACATTCAGGGAAAAGAGAACAGGATTGTAGCTACGACAATATTTCATATCGAAGTCATCCGAGAAACAAATATTCCATAACGGTCAACCAACTTGTGATGGCGTCCGTAAAATTTACGAAGGGATTATTTCAATTTCACCACTTGGAACTCTTGGCAGGGGCGGATCCAGCCATTTATAAAAAAGGGGGGGGGGGGTTCCTAACCCAGGATAAAGGGGGGACCAATTATATATCCCCATTCAAATGCATTGATCGATAAAAAAAGGGGGGTTCCAACCCCCGGACCCCCCCCCCCCCCCTGGATCCGCCACTGCTTGGTTTAATAGCTTCCTGGTTAACAGAAACCCTCTATCAAAGAAATCATGATAGGAAATATAAGGCCTGGAATATCGTATCAACTTGGATACACATTCACTTTATATTTTAGAAGCACTCGCAGTATAAAACAAAATTTGGTAGAAATATTTCTTGCAATGACCTTTCCATGAATTGCTACTTATAAAATGTCATCTTTCTTTCTTTTTTCTCTCTTTCTAGTAGATCCCTCCACTATCTGAAGCACCACAGGTTATCTGTGTAATCAGAGCAACGGGTTTAAAAATATGTATAAAACTTCTTCTGCATGTGCGGGCCTACGTTTATATCTTCGCACTACACTGTAGAATTAGTCTGTACAGCATCATATAAGTAGATTATATACACATCTTACCCACCACCTATAAAAACACGTAATGTACAGTACTCATAACTATAAAAGTCACACTAATAGATTTAAAAGTCTTTCTTGTCCAATCACAAAACTTCACAATTAAAAAGTCTATTCCTCATGTGAATTAAAACATCCAATTACTGTCCAACAACTGTCTCAGTTAGCTTCCACTATAAAATGACCTCTGCTTAAATTATCATCCAAACAATATGACAAACATTATCTTAATCTCAAAACGTATCCTTAAAATTAGTCAGTTAACGTTTAGGATATGGTATTTAAATAATTTAATACCACAGGATTTCTCTACTTAATCCATTTAGTCTTAATAAAAAGATTTAACTTGCTACTAAACGATAAAAGGACTAAAAGGTAAAATCGACTACTAGCGCACCAAGCCCTTAATTGGATTAACCCCAGCCTCACCCCACGTGTACATCAAGTCTGGAACATCTTTCCCGGTGTAAGGCAAAACACAATCCTCTGGACATCGCTTCTATCTGGTGAGATATCTCACCAGATTGTAGTACCAATGGCAATGACGGATGGATGATGTCTATTATCATCTGTAAAAATAGTCTACTACACTTTATGTGACTTAATAGATGACTGTCCATTTGTTCCACAAACTTTTCTAAGCTATTTATAAAATGTTTCCTAGTATTTTCTAATGTCTTACACTTTAATATAAAATGTTCAATATCTTCTTCACCATCATTACACAACGGACAAGTTGGTTTCTCTCTGTTTCCATAGAATTTGGACCTATCCTTCTGTAGTATATATACTCCGGTAGCAATTCTAGCTCTGATACATGCATTCTTGATCGACACGGTTTCTAGACCTGCAGATATCCAAATGTTGTGTAGAGTACCGGGCGTTGCAGTGCGGTTTAGATATACCAAACTTGATTTATTTGCTGCATCTTTTTCCACTATTTTCTTCCAGTGGCCATTTATTTTCTGTTTTACAATGTTCTTCCCATCTTCGATAGCCAAGGGTTACGATCCACTTCCCTCCTCTCTATCTAGAGAGGAGGGAAGTGGATCGTAACCCTTGGCTAGCGAAGATGTGTTCTTCCATTCAGCTGGAGATGGTCTAGAGCTTTCCTCCTCTCTCTCTAGAGAGGAGGGAAGTGTATCGTAGCCCTTGGCTAGCGAAGATGTGTTCTTCCATACAGCTGGAGATGGCATATTTTCAATAAGCGTAAAAATGGATGTAAGATCATATTGGTCAAGCAATTTCTTTGCATAGATAAACCAACTATTCGAAGTGTCATCTTTAACTAATATCTGCCGAACGCATATTTCCTTTTCAATGCAGTCATTTCTCAGGATACTGCTGAGTCTAATCAATATTTGGTAATGTATTGTAGACTCAATTGGTAACTGCCCAGAGAGAATGTATACTGCTGAATCTGCAGTTCGATCTGGAAGATTTTTGGATATTCTTCAGAACTTTCTTGTGATATTGATTTAGCTCCTCATAGTAATTTTTCTTGAGTACTACTGATTCGAGACCAAAAAATCAACCTTGGCATGACATATGCATTCCATAACTTGACACTAATCTTGGGATTTACTCCATTATAACCATGAAGTCCTTCCCCCATTAACGCATAGGAAGTTCTCCTGGCCATTTTTATTCTTTCCGCTATAAGATTGGATTTGCCATCAGTTCTCTGTATACCAATGTGTGTATAACTTTCAACTTCTTCAAGCTGGCTGCCATGCAGCTTTAAGTTTACCCCATCGACCACCTTATATTTACTATTATTAAAAGTCATAGACTTGCTCTTTGCATCAGACAACATGTAACGTTCACAATCTGCGTAATGCTCCTGCATCAGCAACATAGTTTGTAATTCAAACAGACTCTTAGACAGTAGTAATACATCATCTGCACAGGTTGGCGATCCTACGTGGATTGAGCCAATGTTAGCACCAATATGTTCGTCTTCAAACGACTTAAGCAACGGATTTATGAATACTTTATACAATAAGGGTGACAGAATTCCTCCTTGTCGAACGCCTTGTTCTTCCTTAAACAAATTCGAATAATTTCCATCCCACTTTACCCTTTAAGTAAGTTCATTATACCAATCATAAAGTATTTTCCAATCATTGTCTTTATTCCTGCACAGTGTAATTTCCGTAATAGCGAAGCATGCCAGACTACATCAAAGGCTTTTGATGCATCAATGAAGACTGCGTGGAGTGGATAATTTCCATTTATGGCTTCGGCTAATACTTCTGTAAAAAGGAGACCTGCATTTGTTGGAGGCACTTTTTTGGTAAACCCTCTTTGTAGTTTACTTTGTTTAGGTTCTAATGTTTGTATTATTTTATTTTGAAGTAACTTTTCAAAAACTTTCCCTATAATGCTAAAAATTGTTATACGCCTGTATGAGTTTGGATCATCTGAAGGCTTTCCCTGTTTTTTAAAACACTGGAGTAGTAGAGAGTGAGACTGCCCTCCTCAAGTGAGGATAATTCTATTCCCCCTAATCTTCCAGCTTTCTCTAATCTTCTTAATCCAGCTTATGGTATGATTTTAAGCACTCTAATCTTCTTAAAGCAGCTTATGATGCAACTTTAAGCACATTATTATGTAATCAATTGGATTAAGATAATCCTTCTTTTTTAATCTAGATTATAGATCGTCAATGTTTTGTTCCCCCTTTTAATCCTGATTAGAGTAAACAATTGTTAATTATAAACTATTTGTTTTCGGATTAGAGAACCAACTCTCAATTGATATCCTAGATTAGAGGAATCACTTTTAATAATTGACCTATTGTTTGGAGATAATTGAAATCCACTTGTGTTCAGACAAAATTAGCGGATCCTTTGTTTGATTAAATGAAATGAATTGTAACGGAAAGAGAGACAGACTATTTTTATTTTTACAAGAAATACTCTACAACACAGATTGCAAGAAAGAAAGAAGAAATATTTACGAACCGCTAACTTTATTTTCTTACAAACTAGTCGAGATAAGGATAGTTAAATTAAAAAAAGTTTTTTCTCTTTTTCTTTGTAAATTCTAGATATTATTTTCTTTCTTTTCTCGATTAGTTTGTTTAAAAATAAAACACCTCATTGTCTCATCTATCTATAGTTTCTTTAAACAAAAAAAAAATAATAACACATTTCATTTGTTAAACATTTATTTAAAATATTTTAGATCCTTTTTGATTTTTACTTGAAACATTTAAACTGCAACCATTTTTTTCTCTTCTTTTTTATGATGAATATACTGTTCATGTCCTTCACTGTATTCATCTGTTTCCTTAAAATAACCTTTTTTGGTCATCCAACAAAGAGTCGAGAAAATCTACTTCCATTGGTTCCTAAAACATATATACACTTGTAATTAAGTATTCATTTTTAGTTATAAATAATATTTAATTATTTGATAAGAAAACAAACAAAATATGATGAAATTCTTTTTTTCTTCAAAAAAAAAATATAAGAAAAAAAAATCATTCTTTTAATTAGGTAAAGATAATAAAAGCTTTCCTTTATTCACCCACGTGACGTCACCTCTTCACACTCTAATTATAGAAATTGAAGATGATCGCCATGTTTTTGTTTGTTGTCCTGAGTTGTTTTTTTATCAATTACCCATGTGGGAAGTGATGTAAATACAGCAGAATGTTATAGAAGTGAAGAAATATTGGATTGTCGAGGTGGTGGTATTCAATACTTTAGTGGAGAGATAGATCCTTCTAAAAACAGGGTGTTAATGAACTATATTCTGAAAAGTGACCAGATTCAAAATGTCCGCGTGAAAGCCACTTGTGTGTTCGAACTTACGATGTCAAATAAAGAGCTATGTGGCACAGTGGAAGGGAAAATTATAGTGGTGAACGGGGAAGAATGCTTATCGTATGTAAGTACATCGTGTTTGATTAAATTTTACAAGTGAAAAAATAGTTGAATAGTTAGCATGATTACCATATTAGGAAGTTAATTACATGACCATATAAGGAAAGTATGTGATATTTTGTATACCTTATTAGGAAATGTTTATCATGTGACCATATAAGGAAAAATTAACCACGTGATATATATTTTGATTTCGATTATTGATAAAAATTGATTTATTGTTGAAAATAAAAAAATTATATACTCACATTGAGATATATCTCACTTGCTTCTTTTATATCATTTTCTAATGATATGTCCTGATAAGAAAATAATGCAGGAAATAACATAGTGAGATATATGTCTATGTAAAGGAAGTAATCTATGTCATAAATTTGATTTATAAACTTTAAAAAAATCTTTATTTCATTAGTTATCAATCGCAATTACTCATGTTAAACAATATATTTTGATTATGATTATTGTAATATAAAGGATTATATTTATAAAAGAGTTATGCTTACATTTTTTTGTTTACTACATGTACTGCTGCTTCCACTTGCAACATTATTTTCTACCTCCATAGGCTCCTGCACGGTACTTTCTGTTAAATCAATAACTTGATTCTAAAAAGAAAAAAAAATAATTAGTTAAGACAATAATCAGTGTTTACTACTCATTGTTATGACTAACTTTTTCAGGACACAACCATTGAAACATACACTTCCAGAGTAGAAGAAGTAACGATGACAGAAAAAATTTCACTAGGTAAGATAAGTGTATATTTTTCATATATTTAAGTCAAGACAATAAAGAAAATATACCTGTATGTCATAACCACACTTCTAACATGTAAAACAATATACAAGAGAAAGAGAAAAATGTTAGTGTACATGTAAAACAACATACAAGAGAAAGAGAAAAATGTTAGTGTTTGATAGCAAATATTTTTTATTTAATTAGGAATAAGCACTACAATTGGAGTGAAGGAAATTGAAGAAGAAGAAGGAAACAGCACTTACATCAATGGATTATATTGTTAGTATTAATTTTAAAGATTTGAAATTAAATAAAATAAGAAAATCATTTAATTTACATACCAATAAAGTTTATGTAAGTGGGAGAAAAGACAGAAAATAAAAAAGAAATATAGCATTCATTCCAAAATAAAGCTTTTATCATAAATTAAATGCACATTATCATTGATTACATTAACACTTGTAAATTTTGAATTTTAATTTCATTTGATGGTTAGTATTTATAAAGATTGGTTGTCGTGTAAAACATAAAATAATCAAAAACATAAAATTAGAACATCATAGATTTCATGTTAACACTTGCAAATTTTTTTGTTTGTATTTTTTTTTTTTCATAAAGAGAGATTATTTTATGTTTTCTTCATACATTTTCATTTTTTTGTATTGGTCTTTTTTTCAGTTGTTAAACATAATTTTTTTGAACATAAAATGATTGTCTATCATTGTATTAGTGTTGATATTTTACAATGATTGTATATCATTGTATTAGTGCTGTTATTTGTTACTCAATTAATGCTCACAAAATTCATTCCTTTTCTTCTAGTGCAAAAGAATATATTATGTTTGTTTTGGGGTTTATTTTTTGTGAAGAAATATGTAGTTTGTAATTCTTAAATAAAAACATATGTTTTAAAAGTTAAAAGAATCTAACAAATTATTTAGATTATGCAAAATGAAAACATTCTCATGTATAGTGCTTTTATTATATCATTGGTGCAATCTTATTAAAGCTTTAAACAGAAAGTGATATTCTATGGAAATTAGAGTTACCTCCCTTTATCCATATTTTAGAGACATTTTTTTTTGTTCTCATGTATAGTGCTTTATTATATATCAATGGTGCAATCTTATTAAAGCTTTAAACAGAAAGTGATATTCTATGGAAATTAGAGTTACCTCCCTTTATCCACATTTTAGAGACAACAATATGCTCATAGTTTTTATGTTCTCATGTATAGTGCTTTTATTATATCAATGTTGCAATCTTATTAAAGTTTTAAACAGAAAGTGATATTCTATGGAAATTAGAGTTACCTCCCTTTATCCACATTTTAGAGACAACAATATGCACATAGTTTTTTTTTATGTTCTCATGTATAGTGCTTTTATTATATCAATGGTGCAATCTAATTAAAGCCTTAAACAGAAAGTGATATTCTAAGGAAATTAGAGTTACCTCCCTTTATCCACATTTTAGAGACAACAATATGCGCATAGTTTTTTTGTGTTTTAATAGTTTGTTATATTATGTTTTCTTGTATCATAAGTTCTGACTTTGTTTAAATAGTGTGTGTGTGTGTGTGTGTGTGTATGTGTGTGAAGTTTATGCTTTTGATCTGACTGTGTTTAAAAAGTGTGTGTGGGGGTGAAGTTTATACTTTTGATCTTGTATTGAATTTAAAAAGTGTGTGTGTGAAGTTTATACTTTGGATCTTGTATTTTATTTGTTAAACATTGTACAGATATCTCACCTTTAAGTGAAACTTAATTTTTTTGTTTAGTTAAACATACAGTAAGAGTTGGAAAGAAAATGAACTTTTCTAAAAAAAGTAAAATCAAAATAGAAAAGTAAGACAACAATTAAAATACTTTTCAACTCTGACCATTGTTTGTCTTATTTATTAATAGTTCATTATGTTTTAGTTTTAAAACTATTATGAGTGGAATATTGTCAATGAGATGTATACATGCATGCTATTCATTGCTACACACTTATCTAACATGGTTAAAAAAAAATAAGGAAACAAAAGAAAATAAGGAAAACAAAAGAAATTGGATTATTATGAGTGGAATATTGTCAATGAGAGGTAAACATACATACATAGTTTTCAAAGGTACACATTAATTTATTGTGATAAAATACAAGGATGACAAATAGAATTTTATTGGACATTTTCACTGGTTTAAAAATTCTCATTTTCATGTATGTTTCTCAAGAGTTTGGTTGGTTGGATATAAGTTCAGTATAACACAATGGACGAAGAAGTGAACAATCTTTTGGCACCAATTTATTACAATATAGAAAATCCAAGTTCTTTTTCCTCAGCTAGCAAACTTTATCACATTGTTAATGCGGATGGAAAAAAAATCGGTTACCACAAAATAAAGAGATGGTTAAATGCACAAGACAATTATTCCTTACAAAAAACTCCCAGACGTTCTTTTAAGAGATTACGTGTGTATACAACTGGAATTGGTAACTTAATGGACGTCGACCTAATGCAAGTAAGTAATTTATCACAATGGAACTCTTGATATAATTTTATACTAGTTGCCATAGATTGCTTTAGTCAGGTTGGGAACAAACCCTCTACATGGTGTTTTTACCTGTATAGAGTGATAATCCTTCTATAGAGGGGTATTTTTATTTATACTGGATTTAAAGCAAAATAGGGCAGATTGGCATTTTCTAGTTATATTGGCTATAATCTATAGAATTGTATGCATCAATTGATGTACTTAATTTAATTTGTACATGCCCAGTTTACTGCTAAACTGACTGAATATACAATCTATTGTTCACCATAATTGAAAGCTGTGATTATCAGGTAAATTCTACTCAATTATGTCTCACTGAACAGAATTTCTATTGTTAGATTTAACATAAAATTTAAAGGTCAACTGTCCCTTTTGTTGTTGATCAGGTGTTCAGATAGCTATACAATAGATTTCAAGTTCTGTCACTTTAGCAAAAAACTGGACATCCCAATTTTTAATAAAGTGCATTTATTGATGCATACAATGCTATAGATTATAGCCAATATAACTAGAAAATGCCAATCTGCCCTATTTTGCTTTAAATCCAGTCTAAACAAAAATACCCCTCTATAGAGGGATAATTTTATCCCTCTATAGAAGGATTATCCCTCTATACAGGTAAAAACACCATGTAGAGGGTTTGTTCCCAACCTGTTAGTCGTCGTCTTTGGATGCAAGAATCAAAGAGTAAAAAAGGTGTTGACATAGCCAAAGCTTTTGGAAAAATTCTCCAATCAGCAAAGGTAGACAACATCCGCTCGGACGTTGATGGATGTTTCAAGTCGAAGGTTGTTCAAAAATTTCAAGGAAAGGGGAGTGCGACATTTTGTAACTAAGAACGAGATAAAAGCAAACTATGCAGAGCGTGTGATACAAACCATAAAAAACAAATTTTATCGTTATTTTACTAAAAAGAGAACGTATCGGTACATTGACAACTTACAAAAATTTGTAAAGAGCTACAATGGCGTGAATGCAACACCACACAGGTCCTTAAACTACATTGCCCCCAACGATGTTACACCTGAAAACGAAGCGGATGTATGGGTTCAACAATACTTGAACAAAAAACAATCACATGATATGATGAGTCGACCAAATACCAAAAACACGAAACAACTTAAAACCGAAGCAGATTCGATGAGAAAAAAAAGAATGCAACAACGAAAGAGTTACAAATTTAAAATCGGTTCTCTTGTTCGAATTGCTTATACGCGACACATCTTTAACAGAAGTTATAGTCAAAAATGGACGGATGAGATATTTAAAGTTGTACGGAGATTTAAAAAGCAGAACATCAACATTTATAAATTAGGTTCCTTTTATAACGATGAAGTGATTTTGGGTGAATATTATTCTTCTGAACTTCAAGCTGTTGATAAATCAGATGCATCACTCTGGGTCGTAGAGAAAGTTCTTAAAAAGCGTAAAAGGCGAGGGAAGACTGAGTTTTTATGTAAATTTCAAGGTTGGCCTGATAAATATAATCAATACATTCCCGAGGAAGACATTCAAACACTATCATGAAAAACGATGATATTGATGAGGAGCATATTATTTTCTTAATCAACGACCAATCAAATAAGTATTATCCCGAAAATACACCTTCAAATTTCAAGGTTCACCTAAGTGACACTTTGTATTTAGAGGGGAAGTGGGAAATAGCTGTTTTGGATTTTTATACCGAGGAGAAAATTTCAACTGTAAAAAAAAATAAACACGAACTATACATTTTTTGTGACGTGTGTATGGGTGTAAGCCTGTTTCACAATCAGTTTTCACTTTTACGACGTGTGTTTCCTACACCAAACAATACTTGGAATTACGTTTTTTCTAACCCTATTTTCGTCCCTGTGAAAAAAACTGAAATCCGCGACATAGAAATACATATTTTTGATGAAAGTGGAGAACAAGCGTCATTTTTAACTCAACGTCTGTCCTGTACACTACATATTAGAAAAAGAACAGAGAAGCGTCAACGATGAATGCGGACAAAATGTACATTCCAAGCATGGAGAAGTGGTCAAAATATTACCAAAATGTTGTGCAGGGGAATAATAAAACGTATATAAATCACATGAAAAATACCGGACGTAATGGGTCTTTTATGATACCTATTCAGAATCAAAGATTACCGTCATCGTTGTCGAAATCTAACGAAAAGTGCAATCTTCGTCTAGTTAGTCCAAGTGCACAAATGGTCGAAATGGCTAAAGAGTCTTTAGAAGATGAGGGTTTGCAGATAAAAGGAAAAAAACGTAAACGAAAGACCAGTCCTAAGGCCAGCAGCAGTGGACCTAATATCCACAAAAAGAAAAGAGAACCGAAACGAGACGTATTTTCCAACTAAGAATGGCTTTACTAACATCACAGAACAACTTCACCGAAGCTATTCCTTCACAATTAGAAGTTTTCGAGATACCTCCATACCAGTTAGGAGTTGAGTCAATTTCGTTTGAAGAATGTCGTCCTACATCACAAGTAACAGCCTACAACCCAATAGAATTTAATTTGTGTGCTCAGAACGGACTAGAATACATCGACCTTAAACGATCGAAACTGTATGTTAAGTTGCGTGTAAAACATAGCAATGGAGACAATATCGCTATAGATTCGAAGGTGGCACCATTAAATGGATTTTTCTATGCACTTTTTTCTCAGGTTGACTGTTACCTACAAGGTTCACTGATATCATCCAGTAATACCAACTACTCGTACAAATGCATGATGAAAACGCTACTCGATTATGGACAAGATGCAAAAGCATCACAACTAACAGGTGCGTTGTTTTATAAGGACAGAAGTGGACACATGGACTCTTTTGACACTAACACGGGTCTTTACGAAAGGAAAAAACTGATAGGTAATTCTAAGAGCCTTGATATGGAGGGAATGTTGTTTCACGATCTCTTTGAAATGGATCGTTACTTATTGAATATGGTTGACGTAAAATTGAAACTTTTCAGAAGTAAACCGAGTTTCTGTCTGATGTCGAGCGAAGACGATGCTGACTATGATGTTGTCATTGAAGATATTGTCGTTAAAGTGTGTAAAATTAAAGTCAATCCGGCAATCATTTTTGCTCATTCGGAAGCATTGAAATCAACGAATGCTAAATATCCCTATACAAAAACAGTAATGAAACATATCACTCTTATGATGGGTAGTACGAATGCAGTGTTGGAGAACATTTTCCAAGACGTGAAACCAAAACGAATTATTATGGGTCTAACTTCGACAAACGCCGTGAACGGTGATTATCAACTCAATCCGTGGAATTTTCAACATTTTGACTTACAACAAATAACTCTGTACTGTGATGGAGTTCCTGTAGATGGAATTCCTCTGAAACTACAATTTAACGAAGACCGGGGTGCAACAAATGTTGCAGCGTACGTTAAAACGTTTGAAAACTGTGGAAACGGTGGGGTGGAGATGCGGGGAATGAAATAACTAGATCAGACTTCAACAATGGATATGCTTTATTCTGTTTCGATTTACAACCTCACTTTTCAGATGCCAACTATCTGTCACTGGTAAAGCAAGAAAAAGTCAGACTTGAATGTCATTTTGCAACACCCTTACCAGAAACTGTCTCTTTACTCATTTTAGCCGAAAACTCTGGCTATTTTGAAATAACGGAAAATCGTCAGATCAAAGTAGAACACTAAAATTATACCTAATACTGTTTGTTGTATTTTCTTGTTATATTATAACACACCATAAGAATAAATAATGAGTCAATGATGATTTCTTGATTTTTTTTTTTTTTTTTTATTTGATTTTTCTTCTTTCTACTCAATACAAGAGAATACTCAGTGATATATAAATACAAATAAACAATCACACAAAACAAAACACTACGCATTTGAAAAAAAAAGACATACATTACAGTATTTACAACATAACAAATATAAACAAACTAAAATAAACTAACGTATTTACAATGGAAAATAATTAAATATTAGTGTTGTCTTTGTGTCCATAGGCTCGTGTGGTAATTCCATCGTCCAGGATCATGCTTTGTGCAAATATTTTGTGGTTATCACTTCGTATTGTATTCATGCGCGTGCGATATACGCTTTTCTCTAACAAACACTGCTTATACATTTCATGTTTTAGTGAACGAGAGGCAGATTTCGTGATACCTTTTGCCGTATGTTACTCTCCCCCTTCGAATGCATACGAGTACATTTTAGCTCGTAAACCTACGAATTCACTTATAGGTACACCTTTCGTTTCGTCTTTAAATTTCCCCAATACTTTTTTGTTATGATCGCTGTGTAACATGTGGGCTTCATCATACTCGCTGGTGTCAAACATGTCTTGATATTCCATCATATCCTCATACATGTCTTCGGTTTGAATGTGGTACAGGAAACTATCTGTGTCGGTGAAACAGAGTCGTATTTTTTCACCATATAACGTCTTCATATGTTTGTAATGAAAGTCATACATCAAGTGCTTGGACAGGTCAAGAATGCTGAAACCTACGTAGATTGGTTGATTCATTAAAATATCTGTGCGCAGGTTTTCAACTGCTACTAGATCCTCGTTAAAAACTGTGCACGACTTGAAAGATGGTCTCGCCGTATATTTCAGGAACTTTTTTTCTGTGTGACAGAGCTTGACGTTGACGTGTTTACGGATGTTCTTTAACGACCTACCAAATATGCTGTTGTTTAATAACTTGTAGTACATTTTCTCGAACTCGTTTGTGGCTTGTTTCCTTTTGTCGGTGTTGAAATCGATGTAAGTTTTCAACCAGGTGCTCTGTCTAAACTTTAACACTCTGTGCACTTTCTTTAGTTGCATTCCCAATTCCAAATACAATTGTAGGTTGCGGTAGTGAATCACATATTTTTCCTTGTCGTGTAAATTCGGTACCAAATTTTCACACGACCCCAACGTCTTCTTTCCCAATAATTCCTCAAGCATCTTACGAGAGTAGGGTGAAAGGTCCTCAGTGCGAATGGTCTGTCGTTCGGGGGCCAACGGGAAATCAGAGTGTTCATCGTGTAAGGTAGGAGGGTACTCTAAATCAACTTCAAATATGTAACCCTCTTTGGAATCAGGTGCTAATGATCCAATGTTGTTCTTGAGCTTTTCTAAGTTTTCTCCTTCATTCACCCAGTTGAAAAATCCGTAGGGAAGGTGTTGGCTCATTGCCCATCCATAAAGGTTATTGGCATCGAAATATCCCAGGTACGATGTTTCTTTACTCGGATCATAATCATCGATGAGGTAGGGATTGTTGGCTTTAGCATATCGATGGAATATGCTGGACACTCCCCCTCGCAACCCCTTCTCAATGAACAACAGCATATCGATGTCTGTAATGAGATCCAAAACAACACCAGTCTTCTTTAGCATGGCGGACCAACTTAATCCGGGGGTCGTGTAATAATAACATGGATCAAGTTAGTAGTCGCGAAGAGAGATGTCTCTAAATTTTTCGAAAATGTCAGAGAGGAGCGCAACGTCCATTCGAAGGTATATGTCGGAATATTCACCTAACGTCTTTACATTCATCTTCTCCCATACTTTGTGGGCGAAGTGAAAGTCCTCATCGCTGATGTGTTCCCCTGACAATCGACTGTAAAAATTCTCTTTGCTGGGTAAGCTCCTCTCCTCCAATTTACTCTCCTCGTCGACGTAGTCATATGGGAAAACACCCTTCCGCAACAACATGGAAAAATGCTCTGGGTTTGGGAAACATTTTCTTAAGAAAACGAAATGTTTCTCTCCTTCTTGTGCCAGATTTTTTGTCAACGATGCTAACGACTCGTTCAAAAACTGAAGCGAGTCTATAAATCGTAGGTGTCCCAATGTAAACGACAGATACTTTTCCTTGTTGTATGGAATGACATTTATAATGTGGTCTTTGTACTTTCCAATCTTTGTCATGATTAGATTGGCATCAAAACCTTTTAGGTTATGTATGACTACCGGAATGAAGTTAGGTACTTTCATTTTTAAATTACAATCATTGCACGCTATTCCAATCACTTCCCCCGATAAATGAGAATGGTGTATAACCTTCTTGTTTTTAGTGCTGAAAGGA